GGGAGAGGGGAAAGGAAACCTGTTTGGAGGGTTCCCCTTTGAGCCAAACCCAGTGGACGGGTCTTTCTGAGCCGCACCAGCGCATTCAGAGGTTGCCTTTCCGCATCACAAGACCCCGCGGCATCTCTTTGGCAATCGATGGGCCCGCCGAAGCCGGCAAAGATTTCGCCCCCGCACCTTGAACCCAAAGCGAAGGATCTGGATGTCGTTTATGGGGGACCCCCCAAAAAATGGTTTAAACCAACAGAAAAAACCGGGGACCCGCAAGAAAGGACACATTTACAAGGACCATGAACAATTGCTCCGGGCTTGCTTCCCTGCAAATGGGAACCCATGTCAGAAAGGGATTCCTCTACTGATGGCTGTTTGGGTTCCATGTCAATGCAGTTTATCTGCAATCTCCGCCAAAAGTCCCAAACCTAAGATCGATCCAGAAAGAAATGATGACATCCCGACAGGCACAAGGGGCGGTAATTAGTTGAGAGCTGTAGGCTTCCTGAGCCTTCGGGAAGCCTCCGATTGGACCCCTAGGCATTCCAAAAGGAAAGAATCTTTGTGACTCCGTGGGGCCTGGCGGCGAAATCCTTCTTCGGCCGACAACATGGCCGTGGCGCGGCCGGGTGCGGGTGCACAAAGGACCCTCTCTGGGTACAAGGGGCCCCATGTGATGTGGATCACCCGTCAAGCGAGTAGTAAGTAAGTGGGGTAGGTTCCAAGCATGAACCGACCTTTTAGAGTTGGTTCCCGCCTTTATTTGGCTTGATGCAGTGCTTTCAGAAAGCGGGGCGACTCCCCGGGCAACACTCCGAACTTTTTGTATGGAAATGCCCGAAAGCTTCATGGAACAGTCTACGAGGTGAGTTGGTTCCATCAAAGACCGCGCCCAAAAGTTAAAAGGCTTTCAAAGGAACCAAGGCAAAGCCAAGAGTCCAGAACATCGAAGCAAGTGACGACCCATCAGTGTCGCACCCAAACAGTAGGCACAGTTGAAGTTGGAAGACTTGAAATGGCGACATGAGCCACTGCAATGCTTAGCCCGTCCCAAAAGGCCAAATCATTCGAAGCCCCAAATGTCCCCCTTGGTTTCCCTCTACAACAGACCCAAAAGCGTGTACCTTCAGACCCGACCCGAAATCGCCGCTGCCAAGGTATGCGCTTATCCTAATGGGCATGTCCAAGCACCCACCCTTCGAGGTTTATCATGGATTACTTCTGTAAGAAACTTGTTGATTAACTGGTTTCAGTGTAAACAAACTGTTTTATGAATTGGTCGGATTAGTTGTATCTAAAATTCAATCCGGCTTCACTGATACTCAAGGCAATCTTTTGTAGGAACGTCTTCCTTCCCTCGTTTCCCTCAACATACCAAAAGGGGGTCCACAGTGCTAAGCTGCTAAGCCCTTCCTCACGCGGCTTCCACCTCTTGGCGCACGCGCTTCACATCCTGACCGAAGCCGGCGCTGGAGGCTTCTTGGCTTGGCGTCAACGGGGCCGAATTGCAGGAACACAGTTTGGTTGACGTTGGATGGGGAGCAAAAACTAAAATGTTAGCAGTTAAGTGGGGCTTTCCCACTAAACCACAATGAGCAAAACGCAAACTGTTTCCCAACAACAACCATGACAGCCCATGGCAGACCCGGTCCAAATCCCTATCGACGCACAAAAAAGAAGAAGAAAAACACGGCCCGGTGTGTTTTTCCGGGTGTTGCGCCGTAGGGGGAAACCAGCCAGTAAGACCCTGGGAGGTTGCCCGACCTGCGGAAGCTGCTTGGCCGATTCGAAGGATTGGTTACTTGATGTTGATCTCCCCCTTGTTCAAGAGGCCTAGTCTTTTGTAGGTTTAAGCGGCGACTGGGTCAAAGACAAGCCACGACACGATCATCACTGGCCGGGCTTGGTGGAGATGAGCAAGCAATATAATTACCATTCCTCATCTCTGCGAGCGAAGGAGCGGGGGGGAAAACAAAACGTCGGTTTTCCCCAAGCACCAGCCAGCAAACAGGGCGCCCAAAGTTGGCGCCTTTATTTGTTCAAGGTCTGAACAGCCACCCGCCGGATGAACATCAATGGCTTGGCGGTTGGGTTTCCTGCTAGACTCTGCACTGAAGCTGCGTGGTGGTCGCGAAAGGTTTTCTCAACTCAAACAAGCCATCCACGTCTGCTCCAGTTTTAGGACTTCAACCCACCCCAATCCCCCACCCCAACCCACCCTCCCCAGACTAAAACCCAGGGCTGGTTGGATTCCCCCACAAAATAAAACGCTGGGTTTCAGTCTACCCCAAGGGAGTCAGAAAAACGGAACAAACCCCCCCACCCCCACCCCCCCCACCCTTCCCACCCCCCCCACTCCCCCCCACCTTCCCCCCCCCCCAACCCCCCTCCCCCCCCCCCCCGGCCTCTCGGAACCGATCCGCGCTCCTTCCCAAAATCTTCATCGCCTTCCTGCGGGCCTTGTGGTACTTCTCCAGCTTCCTCGGGCACAGCACTCGAGCGCGGGGGGCACTCGAGCGCGGAATTCGAGCACGGGACCCCATCTGCCTTCGGCTTGGGGGTGGGGGGGAGGGAGGTCTGGGAGGGGGGTGGGAGGTCTGGGGGGTCCGGGGGGGGGGAGGTCTCGCAGGTTGCTTTGGACATGAAAAAACACCCCTGTCTGGACGGTTTAAGTCTTTTTCAAAGGGAAACCGCAGTTGCTTTTCAAGAAAGGGAAGCCAAAAGGAGAAAACACCCCATTTCGGGGAGTTGTTTCATTTTGAGACAGACCGATTTGAGTGCTGGTTGAAACCTACCTTCGATTTGGCCCTTGTCCTTAAAAGATCGGAACCCCAATGAGATCGAAACCCCAAGGTCTTTCTCAAGATGCTGGGTGTCCTTTAGGGCTCTTACTTCCGCATTGATTATTCAAGGCTCTTGTGCTGCTCCATGATGAGATCCACGAGTTGCGCCACTCTCTGCTCCAGCTGAGCATCCGCATACCTGACTCTCGATTTACGCCATGCGGATCGGCCTTGGGCCAGATGTGCCACAACAGCACCGACCCTCAAAAAAAGGATGTGTCGGTTTTCCCGTGTCCCTCTGAAGCCATTTCAAGGGTACCCTTAAATCAGAAATGGTGTTTTAAAAATAAAATAAAAATGCTGCTTCGATAGGCGCCGCCACCTTGACGATCCCTAGCTTCATCCCCAATCCTTCTGGATGCTGTACCGAAAAAGAAGCATGAAGAGGGTCCTCCGTTTTGCCAAACTGTGGTCGGTTTGGCTCGAAATCGAAAACATGCTTGGAGTGTTAATTGCACTCGAAACCAACAGCAAGCCCACGATTTTCTTTTGGGCGGGGGAGATCATCTTTGGACCACCCATCGGAAGATTTTACGTGAAAAAACAGGACGCCGCCACATCTCCATTCCGCAATGTTTTGGAACATGTCCAAAACCAGAAATAAGAATGAGCCAACATGTCCATCCAGCCAGAGATATGTCCATTGGGTCCCCATGGCTTTCAGCCAGAAATGAGGAAGATCCCCAAGTAAAGTATACTGTGGATTGGACAAAATCCCGCACCACTTTGAAACCATGGTTGAATCCATGACGTTTGTTGATTTTTACAGGGGAATCGAATCATTTCCCGGGGTTCCTGAACGGTGGTGCGAAACGGATTTCGCAGTCATCCACAGTTTCACATCCAGCCAGAAATATGTCCATTGGGTCCCCCATGGCTTTCAGCCAATGAGTTGAAGATCCCCAAGTAACTTGGATATCACCTCGACGTTTTGCGCTCGTCTTCCAGACAGATCCGGGGGTTTTCGCGCTCGATTTTTGTCCCACGCCTGGAGCTCCACCACCAGTCCCTCCGCGCGTCCAAGATCTCCTCCAGGCGCACCAGCTCCGCCTCGCTGGTCGTTTTTTTTCGGGGCGCGGGTTGATGCGTGGGGGAAAAAGAGGCGGCAGGGGGGGGGGGGGGGAGTGAGCTGCGGTTGGGGTTGGGGTTAGAGTTGGGGTTGGGGTTGGGGGGGCTGGGGGTCGGGGAGTGGGGGAGGAGGAGGTTCTCAAAAGTGGAAACAATTCGGTGGGCCTGGGGTGTTCAACCACCATGCATGGATCAAAAGCCTCCGAAAACCCGCGGGAAATATTTGGGGACTTCAACTCAAAGAGTGGCCCCCCCCCCCAAAAAAAATGGTGGTAAGTTGGTGTCCTTTTGAACATCCAACTGGGCTGATGTCAACTTGTTTGCTAGGCTCCGCTTTTTTGCTGGGCTGATGTCAACTTGTTTGCTGGGCTCAAAAATGCGGAGGCCAGAAAACTAGAATGAACACAAGCCTTTGGGGGTCAACAGGCTCAAAGGGCTATGTGAAAGGGGTATGTGGGTATGAACGGGATTTGGCCCAAACAAAAACGGTTGCGTCTTGTTTTAAGGGTACCCCTTGTTTGGTGGTTGTAAAGAAAACCAAGAACAAAATGGAGATCCATTTTGCGGGGTACAACCTAAAATAAGACACACCCCACATGGATTCCTTCGTCTTCCTTTTGGTTTCCCTAAAGGTGAAAAGTTGGTCTCGCCCCCGAATCTCGCCTCATAAGCGTCGATGGTCTTCTGCTCCCGAGCCACGTCCTCCCATGCCCCCGCCGCTCCGCGCGAAGCGCGGTGCGCGAGCAGAAAACCGGGACCCGTACTCCCCATGCGCGGAAGAAAGCGGAACCCAAAAAAAATGTAGAGGAATCTACACATGCATTCGATGGGTTCCGTTCTTTGGATTTCAAGCTGGGCGGCGATCGATTTCGGGGAGAAAAAAAAACAACATAACAAATAACTCGGTTTAGGAAGATGAAGCTTGAAGGGGGGAGGCCTCGAGCTCTCCTCAATGAATCCCTCATTGATTGCGGGGGGGTGCTTCTTTTTTTGGACAACATCCTTTGCTTGAGGAACAACCCGCTATCAATCCGAGTGAAGTGCATTTTGTTCCCAGAAAATAGCATGGAAGCTCCCAGCACCCTTTTGGAAGACTACGCTCGATCTACTCGTTGCGGTTCAGCTTCACATCACAATTAAATCAGAAAGGCGTGATATGATCGCTTTCTGTTTACGATTCAGGATGTGTCATCCTTGGGTCCGCCAGGCTTTTCATGGGGGTGTTGAAGCTCTTGGAAGCGTCCATCTTCAGCTGAAAACGCCAACCAAGCGAAAGCCCAAAGCGCGACGCATAGGAGGGCAGCATACCGCCTCAAACATCAAGGCCTCGGGAGGGAGTTGATCCCAGTTGCCCTAAAAGTAGGTCACCAGCCATGTTCCTGTTTGGCTTTTGTAAGGTGGGGCCGGGGCCCTTGCATGTTGCTGGGAGGGTAGCCATACTATGTGCAAGAAGCACAAGGTGAGCACTGGCAGGTTCGTGATATCCATTTCCCTTTTTATGGAACCAAGGGCGCCACCTTTGCAAAACACCAAAAAGAACATGGCTGGTTGGTCTAGTTGGTTCTGTACTATCCAACTACCGAAAGGACTCTGGCTGGTTGGAATAAATGGGCTTGGACACCATTTCGACAATGGTGACCGGAACTTTCTTTTGGGGCAGTTCCCTTTTTAGGGAACCACCTGACACGGTTGGTTGGGCTAAGCCTTGGTGACGGGCGTACGTCACATCGAACGACCTCCGCTTGGTGGCCCGTCCTCAGATCCCCTGCTAAGAGTGACTCATTCTTAGTGGGTTAAACGGAAGACCCCTCACTCGTAATGGGTTCATTGGAAACCCCCTCCAAATCCTACAAAAGTAAAACCTCAGGAACCGGATGACCACGTTGAAGTCCCTTTTCAGCTCATTCCCCCACGGAAAAGCTTTGGCCCCTGAAGCTCGCGGCGGCTTCCCCGATCCCGGCATCCTCTTTTGCGACTTCCTCGGAAGCAATAAAAATGTTCCGAGCGTGGATGGGCCAAAAAAGTCCGAACTTTCCGTGTAGCACTGAAAAACACGTTCAAGCCCGAAAAGTGACAAGTCCGAAACGGAACTCAGGGAGTGTATGTACTTTCAAACAAGTCAGACGAAAAAAGTGCTCCAAAAAGCTGTGGTCCGCCAAACCGAACCTTTTCAGGAGGAAGTGGAGGCTGCTTGCAGGATACAGGAAACCTCCAGGCTCTGCCCAAAGGCTGATGACCCCCTACGCAGGACCCACATTTTCCAATATGCACCAGATTCGCGAGCCTTGGGGTAACTGGACTCTTCGTGTTCAGATCCACTGCGACAAGTAACTAACGTTTAGTGGGTGAAATTCGAAAACCCAGCCACTAAAACCAGAAGGGAGAAAGACCTCCTAAAACTTCAGCTCACAATTTGCCTCCCCGAAACCTTGACCCACCCAGCCAGCCTTCAGTACTCAGGCCACAAGTAAAAAAAAAAAAAACGGTTGGCCAAACATGGTCCCTGAAATGCAGTTGCCACCATTAAAACAATGGGTGGGTTGACACAACCACCATTGTTTTCCTATGCATTTGTCATCATCTAATCTAAATTGTGTCAACCATTCTTTTAGTGGGGGCTGCCGAATGAATTTGGCCAAAGTCATAGGTAACGGCTGACGCCTTGAAGCGCAGACCACTCGCGTTCTTTATGCGCCAAGTGTTCCATCGTTGAGACGTCCGCAAATCTCGAAACTCCAAGCCAAAGCCTGAAAAATCGACCCCCAAATCCCAACCCCCCAGAATCGTCCCCCGGTGGAGAAAGAGCATGGCGTAAACGATTGGCTCTGTTCCACATTTCCCTACCCACTCATGACCCAGTTGTTGCTTCAGATGTAGATTTCAAAAAGTGCTCAAGTTTCAAGTTCAAAACCGAACACTTAAAAGAAGCGAAAGGGTAAAGCCTGAACCACCATGGTCTTCCAGAACTCCGACCGGTAGCTCCCTTCCCAACCCCTTTCAGGCTAGAAAGTTGTCCCACAGCATACACAAACAAAGGAGCCCGCAAAGCTCCCTCCTAGGTCCTCCAGTAGAGAGGTTAGAATAAGGGTACCCTTTTTTCTGTAGTCTATTTGAGTAGGGGAACCCTCCCCCAAAAAAGGGTCGACCTAGCCTCTTTGAAGGCTCCCTCTTGTCACTTTTTAGCAGGGGATCTGAGCCAGCTACCGCACGGCTCCCTCTTAAACTTGCCTTGCTGAATGCAGGAATGAACCTAAAAGATTCCCTTAAAGAAACCACCAGTTGGATGGTTTTTCTCGGAATGTCTCATGCCCTACATCTCTCACACCAGCGAGAAAATAGGCAGAAAACTTGAAGTATCCCCCGCTTCAAAGGGAATGGGTTACAGGAGAAATCTACAGGCCACGGATGTGGCTCAAGAAAAACAATGGGACCATCAAATGGCGCCTTGCTGAGATCTCTGCTGCCCAAGGGCCCTGGAACCAGAAGGCTCGCCTTTTGGATTTTGGGGGCCATGACTCGATATGGGCCCAAAATGGGCAAAAAAGAAACCAAAAGGTCAGATCAGGTGGATTCGCTTTGAAGAACTGAGCCAACTGGAGACCAACAGACACGAAGGACCTGCGGTTGGCCCTGGGTCTGTAGCCACGCGGGATCGACATCCAAGCTGCGAGGTCCAGCACCGCGGCCAGGCCCTGCGCATGAGGGAGATGCTTGGGGGGTGGGAGGTTTGGCTGGTGGGAGGTGGTTTGGGAAATGGCTTGTGGGGCTGGGGTTGCTTGCTTGACGTTGGAAGGGGAGCAAAAATGTCAGTTTTAGCAGTTAAGTGGGGATTTCAACCACTAATCCACAATCAGCAATAATGAAAAAAAAATCCCAACAACAACCATGGTTGGGGTTGGGGAGTTAGGGGGGTTCCGGGATTGGGAGGCTTGGGGGGAGGGTTGGGAGGGTTGGGGGGGGGGATCAGGTTTGAAGCACATCACCTGGAACCCTCCGGGAAGCCCAGGCCGCTCCGAAGACCGAGGGGAGCTTAGCGAAGGACCCCGTAGCTTTTAGTTGCTGGGGCAAACAATCGAATTGCTGCGCTCTGCAAAGTCGGGGTTCAACAGATGGAAATCTGCAGCCGAGAAGTCAGTCTCCATACAGCACAATCTGCCTGATGAAATGCAAGGAAGGGATTGGCTTTCAATCTATGAGCGCAAAATGTACCTTTGCACTGGAAAATGGGCGACTCTGAAACTACGAGAAGTTGGCTTCCCCCCGCCCCGGCGCCATGACCGAAGCAGAACAAATGCGTGGCGTCCATTTGGTGAAGCCGCCGCGCAAGGTCAAGGGCGCAAAGCCCGTCATGGCCATACCCGTGCAAACACAACACGGGAAATCGCAAAACGCACAGTTCCTGGGGCAAAAAAGAACAGGGAGGGAAACAAAAGCACAGCCGGCTAGGTGGTATCCCCAACAGCCCGAACCCCCTGGAACCCTCCGGAGCCGATTTGGGCAGCGACCCCAAACCTTTCAGGTTGGAGAAAGAATCGGGGCTGAAGCCAAACAAATCTGCTTCAGCCCCCTCAACCGCTGAAAAACACACAAATCCGAAACCTGCAAAACAAACTGTCGCGGAAAGATGACAACAACACATCCTGCTTCAAACAAACAAAAACCTCTGGACCTTCACAAGAAAGTTGCGGTTTTGGCCCCCTTTGAGCGGTCGGCTTCGCCCTCTTTCAGACGTCCAACTAACGAAATAGATGCCCAAAAAGAAGGTTGGAGTCGGGAGCTCTTTTAGACTCCAGGCTTGGGGCAATGCAAATCCCAGAAAATGTGTCCAACCTTGGGTGCTGTAGAGGAATCCAAAAAGTTGAATCCAGTCTAAAGATCCAACCCAATTAGAGTTCAACATCTGGCAAGTCCTTCCCATGGCTCTAGCTCTTTTAGGCTGGAGCCTTGGCGCAACTCCCAGATGACTGGCTCCAACAGATAGCAAGCCCCTTCCTAGCCTTTGCCTTCCCTTGGGTTCCAACTCACTTTATGAGGCTATATAGCCCTTTTGGAAGAAGAGGGGGTATGAACGTAGAGTCCAACACATCGCCCGCTTCGCTCGCATCGCTCGCATCGCTCGCTTCGCCCGAGGCGCGCGCCTCGTTCTGCACCAAGCGACGGAAGACCTCCCCGTAGAGGGGCGACCCCGGCTCCACGTCGTAGCGCAGAGGCAGCGGCTGGGCGGGGAGAAACATGTCGCCCGGCGGGGGGTGCCCCCGGGTTTTTCTTGCGGTTTGAAAGGGAAACCAAAAAGGGGAGAAACAAAGAAGACACGGGATTTGGACAAAATCCAGATCGCACCAATTGGGATGGATGAAACCCTGTCAACCCTACAAATGGGGTGTGTATCTATGTATATCTGTATATATATATATGCATGTGTGTGTAAGCCACCTAGGATTTCGTTTCCTTTGGTCGTTTGAAAGGGAAACCACCAAGACAACCATTTTTATTGGGGCCCCTACTAATCGTCGGACACACCCATGATTGGATGTGTCTCATCACTCTTAAAAGGTTTGGTTTCCTGTTGGTTTCCTTTCGATCAACGTCAACAAGGGTGCAACAACAACAAAAAACTGTGTGATGCCGAGCAACAGGGTTCTCAATATATCCCGTGTAGTGAAACGGACGCTGAGGGAAAGCCTCCAAACTGGGAACCCCAGAACTTGCCGTGCTCCACTTATGGAATTCCATCCCGGTTGGTCGGTACAAGGGTAGTTGAGAGCCCGATAGGGTTCCCCAAAAGAAGCCCACCCCTTGAACCCCACCCCTTGACTAGGCGGTGGGCCCGGCCTTTCCTTCCGTCTTGCGCGGGGTCACCGCGATGAGGTTGGACTCCTAGCCCAAGTCTCTCGGGAATCCATTGGAAATGAAAATGGTACTTGAAACACTTCCTGCAAGCGTGGAAATGGAAGCTGACTTTCCTTTTGGGGACCCTCCCAACGGCCACTTACATGGTTGGACAAAGGGTAATTGTCCATTTGGTACACGTGTTTGTTTCGTTAAACAACAGTTGACTCATAGTTGTTTGTTTGGATGATGTGTGAATTTGATTCGTGAAAATAGTGCTCCACTAAGATTTCTGTATATCAAGCTTGAACCATGGCTTTCCCTGCTGGCTTCCAGTCAAAACACTTTAAGACAACCCCCCAACAAAAAGTCAAGTCCGTCGGTTAACTACCTGCCGGTGTCCCTTGTAAAACAATCCGAAAAGGGGACCAAAATAAATCGCTGGTTCACCTGTGGGCTTCCCTTGAAACCACTCCAAAAAAGGGAACACAACAAATCATGTGGTTAACATGCTACCTGTCCTTTCCAGATACGTCAATCCCAACAATTACGCAAACCAAGCATCCTGCGGTTTGCCTCTTGGCCTCCAGTGAAATGAAAATGCGCCTCCTGCACCTTTTGACCTTCGGCCCTACGAAGAGCACGACCGAAAAAGGCGACGGGCATGTCTTGGATCGGTGTGGAAGAACCAAATTTTCTTCTAGGTGACCATAGGTCGAAACCCAAGTCGTAACCCGAAGGTTCAACATCCAACACTCGGGACATGTCACGTTCCCCAACTCTAAACCCAAACCCGAAAAAAAAAATGCTTGCACGAAGGGCAAGGGAACACCCACTCTTCCTAAAAAAACATCCACCGCAGCTCACAAATGTGGTCTCTGTGCAAACATGGTGAAAGCAACTCTAAATTGGACATGGAACCCTCCCGAGTTGATGTGTCCGATTGGTTTCCTTTTGTTTGGCGATCCCTAGCCAAACCCCAATTTGAAAATTGTCACCGTGAAGATGGCAAGACTGCGAAGCGTTTCCCAGGGGTACGAATGGGCTTGCTTTCTCAAACCAATCACACAAGGCATACCATCCAACAAAAGCAAAAAATAAAAGGCAACCTGTTGATGTAGACGCTGCTGTTTTAATTTGCGAAAGTGTCAAAAAAACCGAGAAAAAACAACCCAATTTCCCACCGCCATTTAAATGTGCCTCCAAATGGTGAACCCTTTCTGGTTGGTATTCAAAGAGAGAAACAACACATTGTGCAGGTCAATGTTGAGAAACACCCATTTTTTGCCTCCCCCCCGCCCCCCCCAACCAAGGGTCCCTCTCCACCCCCCATTAGGAAACTCGTCTTCGCAAAATAGACAAGCTCCCCTCCTTTTTCAGGATTCTAATTCCGCAAACTTCTCAAAATAGAAAAGCTCCCCTCCTTTTTTCAGGATTCTTCAAGGGCCATTTTCGAAATTCCAAAATGAAAAGCCCCAAATGCGAGAAATAACTACCCCGTTTCAGGGAACCCTCCCCCTGTCCCCCCTGCCCCCTTGAGCCCCCCCCCTGAATCCCCTGCCCCCGGTTCGCCTTCATGGACCGCAGCGCGGACTCGTCCCCGCGGAAGACGTTCCACAGGATCACGTCGTAGGGCACCGGCGCCCCTTCCAAACGACGTGGCGTCCCGACGAGGTCTCGGCCCGTCCCAATTTGGTTTGCACACTGGGATGTTCGTGATACTGTGGATGGACAAAATCCTGCACCACTTTGAAAGTATTGGAAACCATTGCTTATTGGTATTTACAGGGGATTCATCATTCCAGGGTTTCTTAGGTGGTGCAGGATTTTGCCCATCCACAGTACTAACCGTGGCAGTGTGCTCAAGCAAGCCAAAGCTTGATCTCCAACGCATAGCATGGAAGATTCCTGTTCCAAGGGTTTGCTTTTTCCAAGGCTGCCATTGGGAGCTTCCTTTCTAGCTCCCATTTCCATGCGCCGTCTTTGCGGCGTTCCGCAACGTCTTTGGGCGTGGCCCACCTTCACTTCGCCGCTCCCTTGGAATTTTGCTTCTTGCTCTCATCGCAATCACCAATTTCGGAGACATCATCCGCTAACCTTGGTCAGCCAACCCGAACCGTTCCAGAATCTTGTCCAGTTCTTTCCTTCATCATTTTGTCAGGGACATAAGATGTTGGCTTGTACCTCAGCCCAGTACTTGGGTGTTCGGCCAAGCTAGAAAGTTGTTGGTACCTTAGGTTATAACCCACTCAGCCTCCTTAAGTGGGGTTAACCCAGTCAGTGGGTTATATCCCATTTGGCTAACCACTTACTAACTTGGCGAATCGAACACCCAAGTAGCAAGTTCTTATTCTGAACCCTGGTTCATCTGATTCTCTTGGTCTGGGGTCTTTCCAACCCTTGGTATGGTAGCCTTTTTGCCTTCGGTCAGCGACAGAAGATGATAGTGTTTACCTTGACCCACTGGTCTTCGCGCTGTTCTTTTTGTTTCTGGGCTGTCCTCAGATCCCCCGCGAAAAGTTCAACTTTTAGTGAGTTCAGTGGAAACTACCACTAAGCACTAAAAAGCTAAAAGTCTAAGGGACCGGATGGTTTTCGGGAGTTACAAACTTTTGGGGGGGGGTCAGCCGAGGACTCCCCTTTAACCGCCCGCCTGGGCTCTCCGCTAGGAGGCGTGCGGCCCGCCACAGCTGGGGACGCGTCCAGCGCGCCCCTGGCTGCCCAGTGAGGAGCAGCCGCCTACGAACGAAGCGTGGCGAACCGCGGCTTGTCACTTTGTCTTTTTCGTAGATGCCTGGATTGCCTGGATTGCCAGTTGTTGGGTTTTTGCTTTTTTCCCATGCACTTTACCCAAAAAAAACCAGCAACTTTGACTGAAAAAGCATCAACTTGTTTGTCTTTCTCATCTTTTTGCCCTCTTTGCATTCATTATCAAATCATGTGTTGACCTTTTTTTGACTCATTCTGTTTTTGAGATGTATTTCCTCTGACTTGTCTGGTGAGACCAGTGTCATAGATGGCCCTTTGGGGTTTCGTGGGAAAGCCGCCACAGGATGTTCCTTTTGCCGAAGCAAGTTCTGGAACTACTTGATACTGTGGATGGTTGCGAATTCCATTTCGAAGCCATGACGTTTGTTGGTATTGACAGGGGAATCATCATTCCATGGATTCTTGGGTGGTGCAGGATTTCATCCATCCACGTAGGTGCCCTTCTGGTGAAAAAAAAGTGTCCCTGGTAAATGGCTCATACCAATCTAAAGCAGAACCCATCTATCTCCAACCACACCGATCAAAAGGACATCTATGCTCCTTTCTTCCAGAAAAGCTCCACTGGTTCGCGGCCCATTTCTGAAGAGAAATAGTTGGCAAAGTTGACCCTCAGAAGCGACTCGAGCACGCGCACCCCCGGAAGTCCGCAGGCTCCCTTGAACAAAGCAAGACGCGCTTCCGCAGTTCCAGCACTTCGGACAACAAGCTGTGTCCTGTCGGGACAAACGGAGTGAATTCAAGAAACAAAGACTCCAAGAAGGCAACCAAACCTTTTTCCTGTCAAGAAGTTCAACCAGCCCATGGGAAGAACATATTCGTGAAAAAGTCAGCTGTAGGCTGGCATGAGAAGCCAAGCTTCAGGGCGCACTGATTGATGATCCCTCCAGCATTTACATGCTGAGCTTGACAACAGGAAAACAGATCCCCATGGAGAAGGTGGAAGCCAGCCCCAATCTTCCCACTTGCGCCCATTACTTGAAAAACAACTGGAAAAGAAAGAAAACAACAACAACAAATATATATATATATAGTCTGAACATGAACAAGTGGATCTCCAGAAGACAACTTCACGTTTCTGGGCTGCCCTCAGATCCCCCGCTAAAAGTTCAACTTTTACTGGGTTATATGAGAACTACCACTAAACACTAAAAAGACAAAAAGCTACGGAACCGGATGGCCTTCGGGAGCCACCAAGGTTTCTACTTGATTGGCAAATAGCCGTGACACTGACCAGCTCTTCCGATTCGTGTTGGCTTACCTCTAGGCAGCTTCAACACGCATCTGAGCCTCGGATGACCCCGGCTGAAAGTTTCCATCACATTCAAAATGGCAAGAATGCGGGATGAATCCTACAATAACCTCAATCGAATCTAGAAGCAACCCAAAAATATACATGTTGAGAGAGGAAGAGCTGCTTTGGTGTGCAACATAGTCGACCCCGAGGAAACAAAAACAAAGAGTACACAACCAACCGCAACTCCCGTCTGCCATTTGTCTCAAAACGGCAGTTCACCCAACTAGGAAACCAGTCCAGGGTTTGCAAAGCTCGTGATCATGCCCTCTCATCCACGCTACGGGCAAAAAGACCTCCAGGCCCAACTTACCGAGCCCCATCTTGCAGGGACCCCTCAACAGTCCAAACTGATGCCCTGCTCGAGTCTAACTTGTGTGTGGGTGAAATGAAAACCCAACCACCAAACCAACAAAAACATCTAAGAGCCTAAAGGGGTTGGCTCATCAAGCACGTCTAAACACCTAAGGGGATGCCTCACCAACTCAAGGTTCCCACATCTAAAAACCTGAGGAGATGGCTCAAGCGAAGATTTCCCACGAACCTCGCCTAACCGTGACCTCCGCGGTCTCCAGGAGCCATCGCACTGCCTCCGAGCAAGTAAGAAAAACCAAGGAAACCCGCCGATTTGCCGCGACTTGCTGCAACATGGCAGCGGCATCCGCAGCTCAGTAATTTCTGGCTCAGATGCCCAGTGGCCACGGGGGAAGAAGAAGAAAAAGAAGAAAAAAAACGGCGGCCTTTTTGGGCTGCTCGAGTTTAAAGCGGAACCCTTTACCAAAAAAAGGAAAAAGGGCATCACTCTAGGGTTCCTGAGGTTCCTGATCAGGGTTCCTTAGGGAGCCTTAGGGATCTCAAAACATATACCTCCTCTTTTAGGGATTGCCACAAATCTATGGGGTGATTCCTTGTCCATTCTTTTCAACCATCGTTCTTTTCAAAAACCGATCGCTGCTTCCCCTGCGGTTCTGATGGTTTTCCGGAAAGATTCGGATCCCTGGGTTCAGAATGGAAATGGAAGTGTCCCCTAGAAATATGAACCCCTGGGGACTAATTTCAACTGTCTTTTTTAAGATTGGACCCCTCAACATGGCATAGAATCACTGGGCAACACAGCTGGTGCCCCCGGAAGTTCAACCCGGCCCCGCCTCCGGCGCCGCCACGCCGTGGCGCATGTGCCCCAGCATGGCGGCGATGTCTCGGTACCGGCCACCAATCGTCTTGAGGTTCCTCGGATGCGCGGGCCTTTGGGCCCAAAAAGTATTCCCCCGGTTAAAATACCCACACGCGAAATGCCCATGTGAGTCATAAGCAAAACCCGGGATAAAACAAGGTCGACCCAGAACCATGTAAAGAATTCAGAAGGCGGTCGCAGCTATTTATGGTTGGGATTGTCCCTTACCAATCTTTATTTACCCGGGTTTTGATTGTGGCTTATGTGAGCATAAATATTTGGAGAAACCTCCAGACATCCTCGGACCTTTCATGATGTCCCAAGGGTGCCCAGTTGAAGCTCATGAAATGCCGGCTCCTTACACTGCTAGAAGCCGTCCATTTGCCACAAGAGACGTGGTCACGCCGCCTGTCGTTTGCCCAAATAGGAAACAAGACCCTGAACAACGGACATCCATTGCCTTGATCCTCCAAAAAGCAAGAGACCGGTGTGTCGTTTCGCGCACCAGAACTCCGAGAAAGGCGAGGCCCTCGCCGCCTGCGCGGAACATTTTTTCCACCAAAAAGATGCGTTCGCCGGGCACGCTCCTCGACCGCTCCTCGACCGAAAAACCCCCGTTTGGCCCGAGGCGGAAAGGAGCTGGGGACCCGGGCTCCGGGGAGATGTTCAGGTCCTCGGCTCCAAAGTTGGTTCTTTTGGATACAGATTTCAAAAACAAGTTCAACAAAAGCCGGCTTATGTTGTTGTTAATAATAAAAAAAAAAAAAAAAAAAAAAAAAAAAAAAAAAAACGAGTTCAAGAACAGAAACATAGCAGGAAGTGAACCGGTCAGGCCTGAACTACCACGTTCCTCCAGAACTCCGATCGGTGAGTTCCCTTGCCGACCCTTTCGGAAAGTTGTCCCACACAAACCAAGCACCCCGAAAGGGCTCCCAAAGGGCTCCCTCTTAGGCTCCCTCTTTAGCCACCTTCAGATCCGAGCCCAGCTACCCCGAGGCTCCCTCTTGAACTTGCTGCGATGGGTAGGGAATGTGGGAATGAAACCAGGCTTCAAAGGAAACCACCAGTTGGATGGTTTACACTAAAGAGAAGACACAGCTCAAGGAGGTTGTGCTTAGGCTTAAACAAGATGGGCTCTTCGAGAGCACCATCGAAAACATAAAGCGAGAAAACAGAAAAAGCTGAAATTGAAACCCCGGTGCCGTGCCCTTCGATCCGTGTTAATTTCCTGCGAGGTTGAAAAATCGTCCGACTCATCGAGTTACTCAGATGCCCAGCGGCCCAGGGAAAAAAGGGCATCCTTTTTTGTTCGGTTGACTTTCAAGAGGAATCTTCCCAAAAACGGGCAGGGCATCCTTTTTTGGTGGGTTGACTTCAAAATAGGAACCCTTCCAAACAAAACAAAGAAAAAAGGGGCACCGCTGGGCAACTGGGGTTGCAAACTTCCCCCAACCCAACCCGGTGCCTGCGAGTGCTTCTGCAGGATGCGGCGAACGGAGGCCTCCTTGATGTCCTGGAGCTGAAACCTCGAGCGGGGGAACTGAACCCGGCCTGCGCTTGGTGTCCTTCTGGCTTCCCTTTTAAACCCACCCCAAGAAAATGGGTTCCTCACAAAAGGACGAGCTGTACCCCCAAAAAATATTATTGGCTTCCTCCTGGCTTCCCTTTTTAACCCAAAAAAGCGGTTCTTAAGAAAGGACGAGCCGTCCATTTGGATCAAACTTGGGAAGCCACCAGCGCCAAAAAAGAAGTGACTCTCGGTCTCCCTTTGGCCGCTTTTGTTCTCCCTTTGCTTCGGAACGGTTCCCCATGCTTTCCTGGTTTCCCTCCGGATTTCCTTCAGGGAAATGGGCATGCCTTCTTTGGTCGTTTTTTCAGTCTGAAGGCGCGTCCTGAAGGCCAGAAGAGTCCGCAGAAGCTATCTACCCCATGTTTTTCTTCGGTTCGGTTTCCTTATGGGAACCATCCAAACGAGCTGCAAGGGCGCCGACTGTTTGTTTGAACCCCTTTGCCAGGTGAAAAAATATGGGTCCGTCTCACGGGATCGTCTCTGGAAAGTTGGACACGCCAGGAATCAATCCCCAGGTCCAAAATGGCCTTTGGGCCCAATGTGAGCGTGTCTCGAAAAGGGGGTACCCCCCAAAATTTGTTGTTTCCTTCTCTCGGTTGCGAAATCTGCTCCCCTGCTAGAAGTCTAACCTTTAGTGGTTTAATGGAAAACCCATTAGTTGGCAAAAAGTTAAAGTCCTAACATCCAAGCAAAATGCACCAAAGTGTTGGTTTCCCTTTTAAACCAACCAAAGAAAGATGGGTTCCTACAATAAGGACGAGCCATCCATTTGGATGAAACTTGGGAAGCCAATCGTGCAGACACTTGGAAGACCAAACGATTTGAAGCCCAGAATTGTCCCAAGGACCCGTGCGTTGAGTCCCATCCACACCGTCACAAAAAAAAAAAAAACAAAAAAAAAACAAGAAGTCAACAAAGTAGCCAATTGTTTAACCCCCTTTGCACAGTCTACATTCATTGAATCCTTTGTAAGCACAATGCATTTGTCGCTACCAAAACCTGAAATCAGGAATCCCCTTTGTGAGCTATGATTTCTTTTTAGGCAGAGCAATCAGGGTGTTCAACCCCACCGGGTCTGGTCTCAAAGGACGAGCCCAAGTTGGTGGCCCAAAACCAATGTTCCATGCCCTAAAATGAACCGAATGGAATCTCCACAACCCCCAAATGGCGTCCTTTTGGCTCGTGCAAATGTTTCCCCAAACGGGTATCCACGACTCATCCTGCCGCATAGAATCCTCCCCCAACATCCATGCCCTCCCTGGTTTCCTACAGCTTCAGGGGCCTGTGGAGGAAACCCAGGGCTTGCCAAAATATTTGGAGAGGAAAAAGGAGAAAGCAATTGGAGGTGCGGGGAAAAAAATCGCGCATCTCTTTCGGCACCAACCCTACAATCAGCTTCCCTCTGTGTGCTTTGGAGGTGCTCCGGGGAAGGTTTTCCCATTTACCCACAAGAACCAAACATTCCAAAAATCCCCAAAGCATCCAGCAGCACCGACTGAGCCGCCTGCCTGACAGGTTGGTATCCCACCCCTCCAAGCCCCACAACTCCAAACCTTCTTTGGCAGAAGGTTTTCCCCCTGTGGTTTCGAGGTGCTCTGGGAGGTGTTCACACCAATCCAAGCTTACCCACTCCCACCTCCCCTCCCCGAGCTCGAGCGAAGCGGGGCGAGCCGGGGCCCCAAGCGTAGAGAGGCGCTCGGGGCGGTCCTTGAGATGCGCCAAGATCGAGGGCTCCCCGAAGGAGCTGTCCGCCACGAAGACCACCCGCGCCAGCTTGGCCTCCGAGACCTCAACGACGATGTCCACCGGGTTTGGAAGGGTTTGGGGAGGGTTGGGGGGGTGTTTGGGGGGGGGGGGAGGTTTTGCGGGTTGTTTGGTTTTTTTTGGGGGGGGTTGGGAGAGCCGAAAACACCGTGAAATCCGCTTCTTGAACCGGAGAGCCGAAACGCGTCCGAAATGCCAAAGACTCTAAATCAACCTGGCCAAAAGGCCATTTCAAGATCCCCTTGAGGTTTAACGCCGGCCACGCCTTCGAGATCCGAGAAGCCTGACATAGTAGACGCGGGGCATTCAGCAAATCAGTCCTTGAACTGTCATTTGCTCAAGTCCCTTGAAAGGAAAGAAGAAAGAGATGTCCAGTAGTGATAGATTCCCTCCAAGAAAAAACATACTTTGGAAGTGGACTGTGCTGATTTTTTTTGTTGATCCAAAACGACGACATGACTTGTCCGAACGTCACAAATGAGAGTTGGGAGCACTGCCATCCACCCGACTTCCCGCCGCTCTGAAATTGGCCCTTCCGGAAACCAAGAAAACTACCCCAGTTTGGGCACCGACATCCAGCTGGGAAGCGAAACGAGCGCTCTGGAACATCACCCCCGAAGAATGCTTCAAAGACCCTTTCTGGGTGAATTGGTCCCCTCTCACTGATGGAGGAGGGTTGCAAACTTCACCCAGACCTATCCCAACTTGAAAGTCAGGGGGCAACTGGGTTCAAATCACCAAACCACCTACTCACTTCCTCGGTGGATTGGCCAGCAAAAAAAATATGTCTTCTTTACCACGCAAATGGCAACCCAAACCCAAAACAAGAAATTGACTCAAGTCCGAGTTCCACAACTCGATCGGAAGTGAGCCCATGAACCGGAGGAAGTGGAGGCTGTTTGCAAACAGGAAACCTCCAGGCTCCCCAAAGGCTGATGTCAAACGAAGTCCTTGCCGGAGAAACACCAAATTCGCGAAAAATCCAAAGTGCGATCAGACTAAATAAAAGAAGCAGCTGGGTTCAAATCACCACCTCTCCAAACCTCCGAATCCTTACATGCCATCTACTTTCAAGCCGGTGTTTCGAGGGGGCCTCATGCCCTCAGCCCATGGAAAGAATATAAGTAATATAAGTCGCGGGCAAAAACTGGCCGTCTCATTTGAACAAATGTCTGGAAAAAACAGTCCCAGTCCGAAAAAAAAACAAATGGCCCCGTCTCTCTCTCTCTCTCTCATGGTCCAGCGGCATAGGCAGCCCAGCTCACCAAGGCCTCGAAGAAGCCCGAGCGCCGGTCCTGGCGGGGCGCGAAAAAGACGTCCCAAAAGCCGACGGTGTTCTAGGTTGTTTGGTCTATCGTTTGCAAAAATAACAATTTAAGAAAATACCAGCCAGAAAGATTTTAGGTTTGTTGTGCTGTCAATTTGTGTATTGCCAATAGTCAAAGGAGGCTTAATGGGGCCCAAGGGTATACCAAACAGACCATGCTGTGATTCTAATTCATACCTACTCAAGCCTATATACAAGAAGCTCGGAAACCCCAGTTTTGTCTCGGCTTGGGCTTGAAGGGATAGAACAGATAGAGGCGTGCGTATGCGTGTGTGTGTGTGTGTGGGAGACCCCAAAAAATTGGGTGCGTTCCTTGATTAAACTAATGTTGCATACAAAATACGTATATATATATATATATACACGTCAAAACCCCGTACCCCCAGTGCACATCCCAATCCCCACTAAAATAGACTAAAATGGGTGGTGAACCTACCCCAAAATGGTACCATTCGTATTAACCCACGGCCATTTATATCCTGGCCCTTTTGCAGCGTAAGAAAGGTCCGAAATTAAACTTGCTAGACGGTGTTCCAAAAGGAAATTTCAAGGGAAGAGAGGTTCAAATTCTAAAACTATTTCGAAACAGGGATTCTAGCTGAATCAGTTGCATTTAAAGTTCTATTTGCACAGGACAACAAAATATGTTCTATCTCAAAAAGCGGAGGTAGTAGGTGAGCAAATGTGGAGAGGTAGTTCAAGAGGGGGGGGGGGTGACGGTGTGTGAACATACATACATACATACTCACATATCTAGTACCCCTAATGATCCTGCGCCTCTTGAAAAAAAGTACTGTAAAATACAGTGCTTTTGAGCATTACACCTACCTTTGTTTACCTCCTGGGAAAGAGTCAACATGCTTCATAGCTAACATGAAGCAAGTCGCTCACCAGAAGCACTTGAAAGCTTGACTAACTAATAACTTGAAAGTGTTTCCAGTGGATCGCTAAGCACTTGAAAGTATTTTACCACTGGATGGAAAAAATCAAGATTGAAGATTACACAGAACACTTTCCTGAGAATTGTCAATCCTGGCCAAACCCAAACAGCATTCAAGTTCTTCTCACACTTGAAAGTGCTGGATTGAGGATTCAATATCGAGGAGTGACAAAAAACAACTTTCCTGAGAATCATCCTTCCTGGTCAAACCCAGGAGATGATCAAGTTGTTCTAAAGCTTCGAACGTATTTTACCACTGGATTGAAGATTCGAGATTGAAATATTTCACGGAAAGCTTTTCCGAGAATCTTATTGAACACCGAGAGTATTGGGACAAACCTGGATGTTTAAAAAATGATTCAAGATTCAAAATTCAAGATTCCCAGAAAAATATTATTTAAAACTGGTGAATCTTGATCTTGAATCTTGAATGTCAGATTGTCTAAAAAAATCACAAAAAATATGAGATTCAAGATTCAAGATTCCAAAAAAATGTTTTTTTCTGGGAATCTTCAATCTTGAATCTTGAATCCCATAATTGTTAACAAACAAAAAAATGGGACGCAAGATTCAATATTCCAGGATTCCCGAAAAGGTTGTTTTGAAGTCTTGAATCTTGAATTCCAGATTGTCACATTGAACGTCCCCAAGCAATCTTGGGTCCAGAATTCTTAATTGTAGATTTGTGGAAAAAGCAAATGACTGAAATCAAGCAAAACCTAGGCACCAGGGGGGGGGGGGCGTACCATATATATATATGTATACATATCAATGTCTTCCATATACAAAAAAAAAAAAACATGTGGAGTGTGTCTCAACATAGGGGACCCTCACAATGCCGGGTGTTCCTTTTGTCAAACCCTTTTAGACCATCCCAAAAAGTTGGTGCCGAGCCTTAAGAAACAACACACCCAGGTCTGGGCTCTCCGTTTTCAGATCCCCCGCTAAAAGTGACTAACGTTTAGTGGGTTAAATGGAACCCCAACCACAAAAGCAAGTAAAAACCTAAGGACCCGGACGGCTGGGAACCGCCAAGAAGCGGTTCCCTCCCCCCCCCCTCCCCCAAACCTGAAGGGTGGGGGGTCCAACCACCCGGTTCCATTTATCTAGTATCCCCAAACAAAAAATGAAACCAGAACTGGAGATCTCCAGGGGTCGACAGCCCTCCCCCAATTCCATCAGGGTTCCTTATTTTCCTCTTTACACATCAGCCCGCCAAAAGGACACTCACGTTCAATCGTCCCAAGAGGCGACGTTTCAACCAACCCAAAGACTAAGCCCCCAAATTTCTGAACGGGTTCCCCAATGTATCACAGAAGTGGGGCGCAACCACGAGTGATCAACCACAGCCCCGTTTTCAAGAGCGCGTCGCCTTGTTCTCGGCGGTAAAACCGGTGACCAGCACCAGCGGCGTGGCGTCGAAGTGCAGGGACTCCCCGCGGCGCAGCCAGGTTCGCAGCGCCTGGAAGACGAAGAAGCGCGGATTTTTTGTGCGCGCCTTCTTGGTCCAAAAGTCCACCCGAAACCCTTTAAACAAGAAGACATACCCTTTCTCCCACTAGCATGGCACCTGTGGGAGGGTACCTGGAAGATCAGTTTCCTCTTGGAGGGACCCCTTGTCAGGTGCCATGTTAGTCGGAGTGAGGGTGTATATATACATATACACATATTTGTATGTACCCAAAACAACTGGCCTTAGAACTTAAGGAACAAGACCAACTTGAAACCCTTGGAATGGCCAAGCATACTTTTACCGAGCAACAACAAAAATATGGGAGATTTGGAGTCAGAGGATTCGGATATATGTGGTTTCTTTGCTCATCATCTTGTTGGCCCACATCTGGGGCACACAAAGAATAATATGTTTCATATTCAGTCCAACCCTACCAATATACCAAAACCAAAATGGATGAGACCCGGTTTTCGTCAAGGGGCAATGTTACCAAACCTTTGGCCCATGCCCCCTGTTCGGGGAGTCCTGGCTAATACTGTGGTTGCGAGATCCATCTCGCGCCACCGAACTCAGAATCCCCGGCATTCCCCCGATGCCGACAAACCTCGTGGTTTCAACCGTGGTGAGTCCAAGGGATTCCGAGGACTTTGGGGCAGATTCGGCTGAAACATTTCAGCTTCCCTCTTGGTGGATTGGTGGGCGGGTTTCCCTGTTCGACTCAAGAACCAGGGCTTCCAATCCAAAACCAAACCAATCCAAACGACCAGTTAGGGGCAACCTGCTGATTAGGGGCGCATATTGGATGATCACATTAGCATATTGTGCCACAGAGACGATCGCGATTGTGGCGGGAAAGAAGTCCCATTGAGGGTTTTTTGCTTTGAGACACACTAAACGAATTAACCTTCCTTTTTCTGGGTGGCTTGGGGAACCAAAGGCGCTTCATCCGTTGGGGTTCCTCCCTAGAGTCGTACCTTCAGCGGGCAAGGACAGGTTTCCAAAATCGAACACCTTGGCATCCCTTTTTTGGGATCCCCGATTTGCCTAGGGAAAGCGCATGCGTTTGTCGAAGCAGCGAGACTTGGCCAAAGCTAGGGGCGGTTCCACTTTGGTTTGCATGGAGAAGTCAAATGGGGAACCCCCCCCCCCCAGCCAAAACCCCCCACAGCCCCCAACCCCCAAACCCTCAAAAGACAAACCCATTTTGAAGGGAAGCTGCAGCTTGAGACATTTACATCTTAAAGCTGGACGGTTGAATCACCTTGGCCAGCTCGACGCATGTGGGCTTAGTGCAAACCCTTTAAACCCAACAAGAGCTGCTGCCCTCCCATGGAACCTGACAGGGGTGGAAGACCATTGTCCTTTTGAAGGGACCCCCTCTGCGCCACACACACACAGTGGATGGTTGCGAAATCCATTTCCCGCCATTCAGGACCCCTGGGTTCCGACGCGCTACGTAAATACCAACAAGCGATACTGGCTTCCAACCCATGGCTTCACTTCGCGCTGCGATTTCCGGATTTCGCACGTCGCTTCGGAACCCAGACCGATGGGACCGATGGGACCGGGACCCCGCTGGCCGGCGGCGATCGACCCGACCGCCTGCGTTGCGGAAAAGAGCACCCGTTGCACGGCCACCAGCAGCTCGTTCTCCCGGCTCAGCTGCTTGCCTCGGCCCAAAGCAAGTGGTTCTGGTGGCTCCCCGTGGAAATTCCCCAGCAACACACCACCAGGTGGTGGATTCTTCAGGGTGAACCGGCCAAAGAAGTCTCCGGTGCCTCGGCCAAAGCAAGTGGTTGACGTTGGAAGGGGAGCTGAAATTTTAGCAGTGAAGTGAAGCGGTTGGATTTCAACCACTAAACCACAATAAGCAAAAATGCAAAATGTTTCCTAACCACAACCATGAAGAGGTCTCCGTGGCTGATTTTCTAGGAACACCACCAGGGGGTTATTCTTCAGGGATGAACAGTGGGGAGGGAACCCCCCAGATTTTTCCCACAAAACACCACCAGGGGGTGGAGTCTTCAGGGTGAAGAGTGGGCAGGGAACCCCCGAATTCCAAAAAAAACACCCCGTATTAATCAACCGGGGGGTGGATTCTTCAGGGGTGAACAGTGGGGGAGGGAACCCCGAGTTCCCCAAAAACACCCCGCATTCATCAACCAAAAGGTGGATTCTTCAGGGGTGAACAGTGGGGAACCTGTGAACCCATCCTTTTTGTTGTGCGGGTGTGACAAAGAGAAGTGATCCGGACTCTTTTAGGGGACACCCCCTATTTGTCAACCAACATAGTTTTTTCTTCAGGGGTTAACAGTGCGGACCCCACTCGAGTCACTAGAAAGCAGAATGAAACTCCGGAAAAAAAAAAAAAAAAAAAAAAAAAAAAAAAAAAAAAAAAAAAAAAAAAAAAAAAACACATGAGAAAAAGCACATCTATGGAGCCTTCATCCCTACCCGCCGGCCAAGCCAGTGGCTTCTTCTCAGGGTCACGCCCCGGCCGATTTTGCAGGACTTGGGTACTCACTCCTTGGGATAGCTTGATCTCTGCCCAAATACGCTCCTTTCACCCCTTCAAGCCTCCCCCCTTAGTTGTAAGATGATGTCATGGTAGGGTAGGACTTTGGCCATGCGGAAGTTAACCGTTGTTTCACATTCCCGGGTGTCCCCAAGCTGAAGCCTGAAATAAACCCCCACGTGCAACCCGGTGGAACAAAAAAGGGGGGGGGAGAAACGACGCCAGGGCCACTCCTGAGCATCTCTCAGTTCTTGAGACACCCGGCTGGACCCGGGCAGCATGAGGTCCAAGACCGCCGACAGCTGCCGGTCCATGCCTGCAGACTGCAAAAAAAACTCCGCCGTCGAGTCGGGGGGGGGGGGTGGATCTTGCTGGGGATGGTTGCGACGTCCATGGCGCACCACTCGGAGAACCGTGGTTGACACCATGACGTTTACCCTCCCTCCCACGTAGCACCCAGGAGGGTACCTGGAAGATCAATTTCGTCTTATAGGGACCATTTCTGAGGTGCCATGTTAGTGGGAGAGAGGGTATTGGTATTTACAGGAGAATCATCAGAAACCAGAGTTCCTTAGGTGATGCGAAATGGATTTCGCAACCATCCACAGCTGGGTGTATCCTTAAGCCTTCCCATTATTGTTGTCTCGCCCAAAATTATCGAAACAAAGGCTCGGTGCACTTCTACGGGTGGGAGGCTACCACGCACCCTGAACGCTATTGGGGAGTGGGATATGGGTACTGGTTCGCCGCAAAACCAGCGCAGACCATCCAAACACGCTTGGGCCACCTTGGCTTAGAGTTGTATGTCTATTTCTTCTTCTTCTTCTTCTTCTTCTTCTTCTTCTTCTTCTTCTTCTTCTTCTTCTTCTTCTTCTTCTTCTTCTTCTTCTTCTTTCTTCTTCTTCTTCTTCTTCTTTTTCTTCTCCTTTCTCTTCTTCTTCTTCTTCTCCTTCTTCTGCTTCTTCTTCTTCTTCTTGTTCTTCTTCTTTTTTCTTTTTTTTGGGGAGGGAATGGGTGGGATTTAAGCAGCCGCTTTAGGATTGGTTGATGGGGTGATGTGTCTCGTTTCCAGCCGGGCCACTCTTGTGCATGTCCAAGGGAGGTTGCCAGTTCTTTTACCAAGGAATCAGACAAGAAGCTTGGCCCGCGAATCATGAGAGAATGGCGCGGCTGGGATATGAGGCATCTTCTCAAAAAGCTCTCAAGGCGAGTTGTGTTTCTGGAAACCAAAGAGTGTATGTGTATATATATATATATCTACATATATTATACAATATGAAGGGCGAGAAGGTGGTCCGCCTCACTTATGAAGACAACCTGTTTATACTAGCTGAAACAAGTGATGTCTAAACTACCCCACAAATCTTCAGAACCCTGTCAGCTTTTGCCTTGTTGGGGACCTGAATGCTTCTCCGAGGCTTGTCCAGAAATTCGCAACAAGGCCGAAAGTAAGGCAAGTCCCTTGGCCACGCCAAAAAACAAGCCTTGGCCACGCCGAAAAAGAAAGCCTTGGCCACGCCGAAAAAAGAAAGGAAATCCCTTCCTCTTGCCTCCAGTCGTGTTTTCTCTTGACCAAACTTCAATCTCTCACCCCACTTGCCCCACGTCCTTGCCTCCAAGAAAATCCTGGCAAAAAAGTGTCTCCTTTTGGCTTCTCTCTGAAAATTACGAAAAGGAACCACAACTTTAAACTCTCTTTAGTTTGCAACCAATACCTAGGTCCTCCAGTAGAGACGTTAGAATAAGGTTACTTTTTTCTGTACTCTATTTTCACCAAAAAAGGGGTTAAAAAGGGCACTACGGGGGGACCTAGATACCAACTCTTGGCCACCCCAGGGACTTTCTTCGGGAGAATCCGCCCGGAGTCCGCGCCAAACCGGCCCCGCCTTGCGCTGGCCAGTAGCCGAAGGCCCGGCTGAAGGATCGCAGGAAGAGATGGTCATCCGCCGCCCCGCCCGCCTGGCGCTGCGGGACCTTCACAGAAATGAGATGGACAGATTTGGGAAAACAATTAGGTGGTTGGGTGTCATTTTAATCCGTTTTCATCTACAAAAGGTGGTTCATCATCTGCAGGCTGGTTGGTAATCTGGGGAGGAATGCAACTTCTTTCTCCCAGATGCACTCATGCCAACAGGCAGCAATGGGCCGGGCCATCTATCTGCATTGCTTGCTCCCCTTCACCTACAACCCTCGTTCTTGTTGACTGTGACTGCCTGCAGATTTACTTGAAACCCAGTTGCAAAGGGTTCTCCCCAGTTTTTTTTTGGGGGGGAGGGTCCGATGTTCATCTGCAGGGGAGATTAACCCAATCCCAATGAGCAATGCCAGTCACAAACGCAGCCCGGCTTCTTCAGTGACAAGGCGACGGCTCGTTCCCCTCTCTAGATCGCCCGCAATGCACTCCCGCTCCAACGAATCAAGAAGAACGAAATCACCGCCCGGCCATTCTAATTGGCAGGGATTCTCGTTTGCTTTCTGCTCCCCTGCTAAAGGTTTAACTTTTAGTGGCTTAATGGAAAACCCATTAGTTGGCAAGAAGTTAAAGTCCTAACATCCAAGCAAGATGCACCAAAGGATTGCTTCGGTCTTCAACGCCAAGCAAAGGACTGACGTATTCATGTGCACAGATTCCAAGGATTGCATTTTCCCAGCCACGATTCTAGGGGGCATTTTGACATGCTGAGAGACTCTAAACAATGCTCCGGCTGTGAAACTGGTGGTCAATCTGATAAACTCCCTCCAAAACCAACAGGGGGCAAACCAAAAATGGGGGTTGATCAGTATTCCAAATGCCCATTGCGCGACCAGGGGGAGCTCGTAAATTGTTGATCAGGGACTTTTTCCGCGGCCCAAAGCAGAAGGCTCTTCTTCCCCTTCACGCACCCCGAGGAAACTCCAGAAAAAACTCCCTTGGGATCATTGGGGGGAAGCCTGCCTCTGCCAGAAGCTCAACTGGTTGTGCCCCCAAAATGGATTTTATATTTTCCTTTTCCCTTAAAACCACCAAGAAAGGGGTACTATCAAAGCCACCCCCCAAACTCGATGTTCAATCAATTTCAAGATCCCGAGCCCCCTCCATTGGTCAGAGCGCAAATGGATGTATCTTGGTCGATGGGGTACCCTTGGCGCCTTCGTTTTCTCCAGCGAAACCAAAGGGTTTCACCAGTTTCCCGGCCAAAAGCGGTACCAAAACCCGAAGCATTTTGGATCCGAGGCGCCCAACTTCGAGAAAGACCCTTTGTGCCAAAGGGAGAACAACAAGAACATACAAAGATTGGAACATACAAGAAACCAGCAACAAGAAACCAAAACGTTCTTCTGGCCTTAAAGACCCTGTGATGGATGTTGAGCACCTTACAGTAACCTACCATGAAGTCGCAACCATTTCACCAGACCCGAGATGTTTAAGGCCTCAGATCCAAAACCTTCGAACCGCGCCCAGAACCGAACCCCGAGCCCCACTCGCCTCGAGCATGTCTCGCACGTTGATCTCCAGGGCGCGGCGGCCTCGCCCCGCCCGGGTGAGAGGCGACCCTTGGAAGCCTTGGCCCAGGGTCCTTTGTTGGAGTTGCTACCCCTCCCCCCTTGTTTGGTAGGTGTTCAAGGGAAAGCAACAAACAACTAGGACATCCATGTTGGGCTCCAAGCTGAAAAACGACACCCGCGGGCTCAGAACACTGGATCTTCAGATTGGGTTCACCACAAAAACAACCCATCGGTGTTAGTTTTGGTCCTAAGGGGGAAGGAAGCCAAACATGGCACCAGTGTTCCGGGGATTTCCAACGGCTTCCCTTGGAAACCCCCGACGTACACGGGAAGCCTGGCTTGGAAGGTGGAGAGGTCGAGAGCCCCCTGTGGGGGGAGCTTGCAAAATCGACGCGAGAAGTGTTCACCATACCCCCACCCCACCCCTACCCCGGGGCCTACCAGCTTCCTCGCCATCTCGTTGAGCCCGTTGCCGCGGTGCCCGGTGAGCAGCATCACGCGCTCCGGGGGCTGGTCCAGCCAGTCCTGTGGCTCGGGGGGATGGGGGGCATGGGGGGGATGGGGGGGTGGGGGGGTGGAGTTCCTTTGAGGAGTCGCATGTACCAATGGGATCCCACTTTCGGATAGGTGCTAACCACCCGTTTTAGAACCTATTTTAGTGGGGATCCGGGGGTACGGGGTTTTGACCCACGTCTCTACCAAAGCCTTTGCCTACAAAAACAGTTGACACCTGCCAAAAAAAATAATATTCAGTGAACCTCAAAGTGGCACATAAGATGAAGCGCAAGCCTCTACGTGGAGGTGGCTTGAGTGTTGGTCGTGTCCGTCAAAACTTGCGAAAGTGGGGTTCGCGCATGCAAACTCCAAACTCCGAGACCTGGCGTCGCGTGGTTTTACACGCGACGAAGGGCGAAACCGTGCGTTGGACGAACCTCGAGCCCGAGCCAACTCTCATAGCACCCCCAGAATCTCACCCGAGGAGACACCAAACCCAAAGAGTTGCCCAAAGGGGAAAGCCAAGCGTTCAAAAGGTGGTTGCGCTTCGGGAAACGAACGAGGAGGGAGCTTCTTCTTGTTTTAGAGACAGGAGGGGAGGGAGCCCAAGTGAGCCCTTTTGTCAGGCGCTTCTTTGGGCCTCCCTCCCAGCCCCAGCCCGAGTGAAACACCCATCCCCGACCCATCGCTCCGTGAGCTCGGCGATCTCCGCCTTCCGCTCCTCCCAGAAGTCGTCGAAGAGGTCTGACCAGCAGCTTCAGAACGGGCTCATTTGGGCCGTGTGTCCACGGCAGAAACCAAGAGAGACCACGGGAGACCACGGGTAAACCAAGGGAAACCAAGGGGAAGTCGTGGGCATGGGGAAACCAAGGGAGACACCCAGATAGCAATGGAATGCAAAGGCCTTGTGCTGCAAGGTTGAAGAGGTCATTTTTGGGATTCCTTTGTCAATCTCTCCTCAGGCTTCCACAAAAGGAGAAGCAAAAGGACTCTCTCCCTACTCCTCCAAATTCAACCATGAGAGACCACGGCTTACGGTAAGCCAGGGGAAACCAAGGGGAAGTCAAAGGGAAATCAAGGGGAATTTGGGCGGAAGTTGAAATGAGGGGTTGAACGGCCCATCATTGTGCTTGGTCACCGGGGTCAAAATGGCCGGCTGACATAGGGGTATCATTCTTTTCGAGATAGCGGCTTCCATGTTTGCCAGGGAGGCTTTGCTTCCGATCAAAAAGCACACACAGAATGAAGCCGAACCAAGCAGAAACAACGCGCAGAGACAAAATCAACCTGCTCAAAGAGAACATCTGGCAGAAACCAGCAGACACACAATCAAACCAAACAGAAACACAAACCAATTCACACGGAAACAAACCAACAAAAAACGAAGAGAAACAAACCAAAACAAACAAACACGAAAAAAATAAGCTCAGGTGATATCCCCAACAGCATGCGGTGCTCTCGTTAGTGCTCGCACCATCCCGCAGCCCTCGCAGAACCTCGTGGAACCCTGGTGGAACCCTGAGACCTCAAAGCTTTCATCTGTTGGGGGGTAAAAACAAAAACGCCGGAAGAACCGGCAGAGTCGCCCCTAGACTCTCCATGACCCGAATCAAAAATGGGTCCGCCCCATTATTTTGGGCAATGACCCACCCTTTTTTAAGGGTCATGGAGACTCCAGGTAGTTGCTTTTGTTCCTTTTGGCATCTCTCGCGCCTTCCTTCGCGGGCTTTCGCAGGGACGCCCTCTCCAGACTCCGGCGGGCGGAGTGCAGCAGGAGGTTGGACTTCAGCAGCAGAAAGCCGGTGACGCCCTGGTAGCCTCCCGCAGTCCGGACGAAACATGGGCCTCCCCAAAGGAAAGGAACAAGGAAAGGAACCAGAAAGGGTAGCCTCCCCCAAAAAAGGGGTAAAAGGGCACTACCGGGGGAACTAGAGGAAACACGGGAAATTTGGCTTATTTGCAAGGAAAAACCTCGTTCCCTGGTAGCCTTCCATAGATAAGGGGGCAAGGAAAGTGTGTGTGTGTGTGTGTGTGTGTGTGTGTGTGTGTGTGTGTGTGTGTGTGTGTGTGTGTGTGTGTGTGTGTGTGTGTGTGTGTGTGTGTGTGTGTGTGTGTGTGTGTGTGTGTGTGTGTGTGTGTGTGTGTGTGTGTGTGTGTGTGTGTGTGTGTGTGTGTGTGTGTGTGTGTGTGTGTGTGTGTGTGTGTGTGTGTGTGTGTGTGTGTGTGTGTGTGTGTGTGTGTGTGTGTGTGTGTGTGTGTGTGTGTGTGTGTGTGTGTGTGTGTGTGTGTGTGTGTGTGTGTGTGTGTGTGTGTGTGTGTGTGTGTGTGTGTGTGTGTGTGTGTGTGTGTGTGTGTGTGTGTGTGTGTGTGTGTGTGTGTGTGTGTGTGTGTGTGTGTGTGTGTGTGTGTGTGTGTGTGTGTGTGTGTGTGTGTGTGTGTGTGTGTGTGTGTGTGTGTGTGTGTGTGTGTGTGTGTGTGTGTGTGTGTGTGTGTGTGTGTGTGTGTGTGTGTGTGTGTGTGTGTGTGTGTGTGTGTGTGTGTGTGTGTGTGTGTGTGTGTGTGTGTGTGTGTGTGTGTGTGTGTGTGTGTGTGTGTGTGTGTGTGTGTGTGTGTGTGTGTGTGTGTGTGTGTGTGTGTGTGTGTGTGTGTGTGTGTGTGTGTGTGTGTGTGTGTGTGTGTGTGTGTGTGTGTGTGTGTGTGTGTGTGTGTGTGTGTGTGTGTGTGTGTGTGTGTGTGTGTGTGTGTGTGTGTGTGTGTGTGTGTGTGTGTGTGTGTGTGTGTGTGTGTGTGTGTGTGTGTGTGTGTGTGTGTGTGTGTGTGTGTGTGTGTGTGTGTGTGTGTGTGTGTGTGTGTGTGTGTGTGTGTGTGTGTGTGTGTGTGTGTGTGTGTGTGTGTGTGTGTGTGTGTGTGTGTGTGTGTGTGTGTGTGTGTGTGTGTGTGTGTGTGTGTGTGTGTGTGTGTGTGTGTGTGTGTGTGTGTGTGTGTGTGTGTGTGTGTGTGTGTGTGTGGTGTGTGTGTGTGTGTGTGTGTGTGTGTGTGTGTGTGTGTGTGTGTGTGTGTGTGTGTGTGTGTGTGTGTGTGTGTGTGTGTGTGTGTGTGTGTGTGTGTGTGTGTGTGTGTGTGTGTGTGTGTGTGTGTGTGTGTGTGTGTGTGTGTGTGTGTGTGTGTGTGTGTGTGTGTGTGTGTGTGTGTGTGTGTGTGTGTGTGTGTGTGTGTGTGTGTGTGTGTGTGTGTGTGTGTGTGTGTGTGTGTGTGTGTGTGTGTGTGTGTGTGTGTGTGTGTGTGTGTGTGTGTGTGTGTGTGTGTGTGTGTGTGTGTGTGTGTGTGTGTGTGTGTGTGTGTGTGTGTGTGTGTGTGTGTGTGTGTGTGTGTGTGTGTGTGTGTGTGTGTGTGTGTGTGTGTGTGTGTGTGTGTGTGTGTGTGTGTGTGTGTGTGTGTGTGTGTGTGTGTGTGTGTGTGTGTGTGTGTGTGTGTGTGTGTGTGTGTGTGTGTGTGTGTGTGTGTGTGTGTGTGTGTGTGTGTGTGTGTGTGTGTGTGTGTGTGTGTGTGTGTGTGTGTGTGTGTGTGTGTCGTGAGCGTGGCTTTGTTGCAGATGGTTTACCTGCAGGGGAGGACCCTTGTGATTGGGTACATGGTTTTCCCGATTGGCTCTGGGGTGGGGTTCGTGCAGTCGCGCGGTTGGCAGGCTTCGTAAGGTTGGCGGGGTTAGCTGGATTCGCAGGGTTCGCGGAATTCGCATGCTTGGCGCGCAAGGTTCGCGGGGCTTAAACCAGGAAAGCTGCAATCACAGCTTTGGAAGACCAAGCAAAACCAGGAAAGCTGCATTCACAGCTTTGGAAGACCAAGCCAAACCAGGAAAGCTGCATTCACAGCTTTGGAAGACCAAGCAAAACCAGGAAAGCTGCATTCACAGCTTTGGAAGACCAAGCCAAACCAGGAAAGCTGCATTCACAGCTTTGGAAGACCAAGCCAAACCAGGAAAGCTGCATTCACACAATCACACCTTTGGAAGACAAGCCAAACCAGGAAAGCTGCATTCACAGCTTTGGAAGTCCAAGCCAAACCAGGAAAGATGCATTCACAGCTTTGGAAGACCAAGCAAAACCAGGCAAGCTACAATCACAACTTTGGAAGACCAAGCCAAACCAGGAAAGCTGCATTCACAGCTGTTGGAAGACAAAGCCAAACCAGGAAAGCTGCATTCACAGCTGTTGGAAGACCAAGCCAAACCAGGCAAGCTACAATCACAGCGTTGGAAGACCAAGCCAAACCAGGAAAGCTACAATCACAGCTTTGGAAGACCAAGCAAAACCAGGAACGCTGCATTCACAGCTTTGGAAGACCAAGCCAAACCAGGAAAGCTGCATTCACAGCTTTGGAAGACCAAGCAAAACCAGGAAAGCTGCATTCACAGCTTTGGAAGACCAAGCCAAACCAGGCAAGCTGCAATCACAGCTTTGGAAGACCAAGCCAAACCAGGAAAGCTACAATCACAGCTTTGGAAGACCAAGCCAAACCAGCTTTGGAAGACCAAGCAAAACCAGGAAAGCTGCATTCACAGCTTTGGAAGACCAAGCCAAACCAGGAAAGCTGCATTCACAGCTTTGGAAGACCAAGCAAAACCAGGAAAGCTGCATTCACAGCTTTGGAAGACCAAGCCAAACCAGGAAAGCTGCATTCACAGCTGTTGGAAGACCAAGCCAAACCAGGCAAGCTACAATCACAGCTTTGGAAGACCAAGCCAAACCAGGAAAGATGCATTCACAGCTTTGGAAGACCAAGCAAAACCAGGCAAGCTACAATTACAACTTTGGAAGACCAAGCCAAACCAGGAAAGCTGCATTCACAGCTTTGGAAGACCAAGCCAAACCAGGAAAGCTACAATCACAGCTTTGGAAGACCAAGCCAAACCTGGAAAGCTGCATTCATAGCTTTGGAAGACCAAGCCAAACCAGGAAAGCTGCAAACACACATGTTCGCGCCATTTTTCTGACCGTTCATCTCAGACCCCCCCCCCCCCCCCAACCAATCGCCTGGCTCCTCCTCGTCCCGGGGCGGGGTGGAGAAGGTGGACGCCATCTTCATGCCCACGAAGGCCGTGCGCATGGGGTCCCAAATGAAGTAGGTGGTCCCAAACCTACCCACTGGCGATGAGCCAGTTGCATTCTTTCTTGAACAACTAATACTGTGGATGGTTGCGAAATCCAGACATCGCACCACCTAAGAAACCCTGGAAAGATGATTCCCTGTAAATACCAACAGATGTTGGTTGCATTCTTTCTTGCACAACTGTTTTTGGCCATGGGTCAAAACCCTGTACTGGTGAACCTCCGAATCCAAAATGGAGGCATAGGTTATGACCATGGCCATGTTGGGGAAACCAGGAGGGCGTTTACGCCATTGTTTTCAAACCAAAGGCTCGCCCAAGCCTGGGTGGGCCGCCGACTTCTTTACTTGACACCTAAGAGGGTCCAAAGGCAGGACGCTTGGCCCATAGTTTCAACCAATTCTCTGTTGCGCACTTGGGGGTGTGTCTTTCTCGGGACCCCCCAAGTCGGTGCTGTTCCTCCCGCCATTTAAACACCCCGTGAAAAGTGCACCCTCAGAAAAAAAGAGAGGCACGCCCGTATCCTACTGGTTCCCCAAGGGTCCGTAGGACTGGATTTGGTTGCCCTCCCCATCCTTCCCCCCCCTGCTCCGCCACCCCCCCACCCCTGACCCCTCTGCTCCCAAGCCCGAAGCCCCCGCAGCCCAAAGCCCGAAACGCGGCGAGGGACATGAAGACCGCGAAGAGCGGAAAGACCAGGCGCGCGTTGGCGTTGATCGTCTCCCAGATCCACTTCCTCACGCTGAAATGTCAGATGGGATCGACGCGTGGATCGATCCCGAGCCCAAGGAAAGCTCAGGTTGGGCATTCTTTGACGCTTGATTTTGAAGACCCCTCAAAGCTGTTAAAGGAAAGGAAGGAAGGAAGGAAGGAAGGCGGGAAGGAAGGAAGGAAGGAAGGAAGGAAGGAAGGAAGGAAGGAAGGAAGGAAGGAAGGAAGGAAGGAAGGAAGGAAGGAAGGAAGGAAGGAAGGAAGGAAGGAAGAAAAAAAGAAAGAAAGAAAGAAAGAAAGGAAGGAAGGAAGAAAGGAAGGAAGAAAGAAAGAAAGAAAGAAAGAAAGAAAGAACGAGCACCGCTCGAGGTCCTGTACAGGACCGATCGGGCGGCCAACTCACCAAACATGGGGCGAAGTTCAACAAAGGAGCCTGCATTCACCTCGATCACAGGGGGTACTTTGGTTTGTCCATGCACGCCATCTGTTGATATTCATAACATGGTGGAAGCATGGAAACTCTGGAACTCATAGGAGAGACGTTTCCTCCAAAAGTGCAGGTTTCCCTCAAACATGGGGTGAAAGAAGATTGTTCCCCCCACCCCGTCTCACTGAACCAGGCGTTTTACTGAACACCTGCCTTCCCGCTTCAAACGTCCCGTTGCCTTCCTGCCAACTTCCGAAGCCTCAAGAAGCTTTTTGGATGACCCGGTAGATGGGTTCTAACAAACAGGGTTCCTTGCAAATACTACACACAGGAGACCCCGCTATACGGGTACCCCGAATTTTAAGCTGCGCTTCTGCATGAACTGCTTGTACTCGATGTGGTAGAATGGCCCATCTGCCTGCGATTTGGCGCCAAAAGACCAAGTGGCTCGATTCAGTTTGCCCAAGGATGGCTTCCCCTACCCACAAACCGGCATGTAACCTTCGTGAAGGGTATATGTTCCCTTTTCCCTTGGGTATAGTGGTTTGGGCCGGTGGAAAGGTAGAAGCCATCTAAGAGTCGTGTTGAAGTGGTCAAGACAGAAATGGTCGATTGCCAGCATGTGCCATGCGTGTTAGAGCTTCGCAAGCCGCGGCCAAGTCTCTGCTTCGCTACTTGAGCTTTCTCACCCACTAACAACCGGGTTGGTCTCCTCATGGAGACGAGTTTGAGCGGGTCATAACCCAAGTTGCCAATAACTTTCCATATCCAAGGACCCAAAAAGAACCTGGAGAGTAAACGCCGCCTTGACATGAGGTTTCCATTGGCACCGGAAACCAGTTTGAAAAGCCAAAAAGGAAGTCAGGCGCGGATTTGGTAGGGGGGACCCTAAACCCTAAACCCTAAATCTGGGGGAGTCCACGGCGTCACGTCTGGTCTCTCCCCCCCGCCTCCATGGGCGCCCGGTGGAGGCAGTTGCGGGCCGCCACGGCCCCGGCAGTGTGCCGGAAGGAGACCTGTCGAAAAAAATATCTCCGAGGCGTTTTGGGGATACCTTTTCCGAGAAAGCAACACCTTTTCCGCCTAAGTTCACAGGTGTGAGCCTTTCTGGGTTTCTCCAAAAAATATCTCCGAGGCCCTTTGGGATACCTTTTCTGAGACCTGTGCCACAAAGCAACACCTCTTCTTTGCGGGTTTACAGGTGAGGCGAGCCATAAAGCAACACCTCTTCTTTGCGGTGTAAGTCTTTCTGGGTTTACAAAGAAGAGACACAAGAAAGGACAAAGAAGGCTTTTCTTTGTGGATACCTTTCTGGCTATACCCTTTGTGGATTTACAGGGACACACCTCTTCTTTCCTTTTTTTGCGAAGGTCCACAAAGCACCTGATAGAATTGCTGGCCGGTCGCCAAACCGAGAGAAATGGGTGCAGGTGATACCGTGGATGGTTGCGAAACCCATTTGGGGGCTTCTCAAGCTAGGGATTCTGCAAAATGGTGGGTTTCCTGTTGGTTTCCCTTCAACATACCAAGAGAAATGGGTGTGGGTCAAAACCTGAGAAAGGGGTGTGGGTCAAAATTAAACCACCGCGGGGGCATAGGCAGCCTTTTGGAAAAATAGCTGGTTTTGATAAATGGAACAAAACTAAGGTGCCAAGAATGGGGATGGTTACGTCAAAATAAAACCAGGGGGCCGCAGATTTTCGCCCTTGGTTCCATTTGCCAGGGTTCAAATTGGGTACCCTTTTTATCCCACAGCCAAATGGGCTCAGGTGATACCGCGGATGGACGAAACCCATTTCGCACCACCTGAGAACCCTGGAATGATTCCCCAGCAAATACCAACAAACCATGCTTTCCAATTTCCACGTGGTGCAGGATTTCGTCCATCCACAGTTTGGGAGCTTCTCAAAATGATGGACCCCTTTGGTATGTTGAAGGAAAACCAAAAGGAAACCACGCATTTGGCAGAATCCCCTAGTTGAGAAACCCCCATATCCCAACAGCCCAGCTCTGGACTGAATCTCTGGAACCCTCCCTCAAAGCCAGATTTCCCGCAGAGTTGAATGGCAGGTTCCATTCATAAGTGATACGGATACGACATGCTCTTGTGCGCGTCGCTCTTGACTTCGGAGGCAAACTCTTCACATGGCCAGTGGATGTGAATCTTAGTTCGGGGGCCCCTCTATCAAACATGAGGTCTTGACCCGGTGACGTGACGTGCCGCTTTCTCTTTGGCCTTCGATACATCATCGATACATCACAAAGCGCTCAGGTCCATCAGACTTCCCGGCTTTTCGCTTTAAACATCGCCCAAGACAACTTGTCTTGTCAACAGATGGCCTAAAGCCACCCAAAAAGTGGAGAAATGTACAGAGGGAGCCTGAAACGGGTCCATCCGGCAGGAGTTCCCCTAATCGATCGCGTCACGGACCTTCCGCTCTAGCAAGTGGCCTTACCAAAGGCTTAAACAAAGCATAGCCCAAGTCGCCGACCCTCGCCCTTCAGAACTTCAAGTGAGCATGTTGCTTGAAATATTATTGATCTTCTTGATCTTTGTTTCTGGATGTGTCCTGACCCACGCCAAAGAAAAAACGGACTTTCGCATGTTGGTTGAAATCTTCTTGATCTTTGCCTTTGTTTCTGGATCTTTCCTGACCCTTCACGCCCAAAACCCCCCATGGGAATGAAAGGGAAGGAAAAGACAGGCATCTCATTCACTCACCTAATCTCATCCCACAACTGGAAAGGAAAAGGCGTGGGAAATGAGGTGAGCGATAAGAGCTGGCCCAACCCCGGACACCCCCCGCGCGTTGAAGCAGTTGTCCCCCGTGGCGTGCAGATCCTCCAGCTGGCCGTAGCGCCGGAGCGCCTCGTACAGCTGCTCCTAAAGGGGCGTCACGTGGCCATGGGTCAAAATCCAATCGTACCCCCGAACATCCGATTCAATCCCCACTAAAGTAGGTTCTAAAATGGGTGGTGAATTCACCTACCCCAAAATGACATCGACGCAGAAGTGCTGGAGTGTGCGCGCTTGTGCGTGTGGCTTGTGTACGTTTACATGTATGCAAAAAAATAATAATATGCATGCAAATGTACGTGTACAAATGTGTATGTAGATATATGTATATATATACATATATAACTGTATTATGTATACATGCGTTTATATAGTAACGCAATTAGGTGTTTAGTCTGTGTTTTGTTTTGAAAAATGTATTTACGAATGTAATAATGTAACAATATAGGAATGTATGAATGAATGCATGAATGAGCTAAGCCGAGGCGGGGCCCCTCATTCTATGAATCTAGTGGAACAACGAGGTCAAGATTCTCCCCTCCCCAATCCCCGATCAGCTTCGGGTAAATGTGGAGGACTTGACTAGAAAATGCTGTAGTTTTGCGAGGATGGCATTCCTGAGTTGTATGACTCTTCAGATTCATCCCAAGTTGACATGATGCTTGTTTTGGAGCTTGCAAAAGAGTTGGGAAATTAAATGGAAAAGCCCTCCCAACGGAAGATGATGTCAACCACTTCGGCCAGTATCACCGTCCGGCCGTTTTTTGGGATGACGAACTTCCCCGCCAGACGTTTTCCAGCTTTGGGTGTGTCATTCTTTGGAAACCCCCTCTTTGGTGCCAGGGACACTTAGAGTACATGTTGCAGCCAAGAATCCTTAAAAAACCCATAGGCCCGAAAAGTGTCCACCATACGGGGGGCATCCCCTAAAAAAGGACAGGCCCGTGTCGTTCTTCGCTCCTCCGGCACCTTCTTCTCCGGTGCGGGCTCAAAGCGAACCTGGATCTGAGAGGAGGGGTACCTGCTGGTGAGGTCCTGACAAATCGGGCAGAAAAACAACGCTCCAAAAAGTGAATCGGCAGGCCGGCGGAAATCCAGATAGCCAGATAGCCTGGTTGCAAGGAAGCAATGGCCAACCAGAAGTTAGGGCTTGATTGGAAGGCCTTGCTTCGGAGCTAGGCGCTAGTTCGGGGGAAGCCCCAAACATGAGTCTTCGAGCAAACATTTCGGACGCGCTTTTGGTGGACTTCACCTGTTCACCCGGCTGGTTCCTTTTGTACTAATATTTTAGTACTCTTTTGACATCCTGGGGTCACATCCAAACCGCTTCTAGAAAAAAAGTTGAAAATAGTTTAGACTTCCACAAGTTGACACATCGGTTTTGGCCAAGAAGGACGGCAGGAGGCAGCGGGGCCCAAAGCACCTACCCTTTTTCTGCCATCAGACGAGTTCTGCAGCGACAAAAATTAAACACACCAAGAAGAAATCCCTAAGGAAACAGCACATGGGCCCCGCAAAACTAACCCCTTGAGGTCGCGCGCGATCTTGGGCAAACCGCAGAAAGACCAAACCCAGCTTTGACGAGAACTGGGATTTTTATAGAGACTAAGCTCTTGGACGGGCAAACGAGCCAACAAGTTGGCGCTGGCCGTGCAGCAAATGGACACAGTTGGGCCTTCGGTATCTCGATTCAAGCCCCGAGATCAGTTTCAAGGCGACAAACCTCGAAATGGAGATTGGACACCCAAAACGGGTTTTGTTTTCCCATCCAAAAGCTGGCACAAAGCAAAAAGCCAAAGAAACTCGAGGAAGTTGAGCACTTGATGGCCACGCGCCAGCAGGAACCAACAAAAACTAGTTCCCGGAAACATTCGTGGTGTCTTTCTTGAGGCGACCCCCATCTTTGTGCTCTTTTTTTCAGGGAAACCAAAAGGACACCCACAACTTGTGGGGTCCCCCAAAAAAAGACTCACTCACAAATGTTCCAACCCGTCGGAGCCGAACGAAACGACGACGCAAAAACGTCGTCCCGCTCCTCCAAGTAGGGTGTGCCCTTTACGCGGTGCGCCCGCACAGGGCTGGGGCAAAGAAAGGCGTTGAAGTTGTGCGTCCTGGCATGGACCCCCCTTGAGGGGGGCTACGAGCTGGTTCCCTGAAAATGGAAGCAAACACAAACAGGGTTGGCATCGAGAGTCTTTGTCTTGGACTAAGGGGGGCTACGAGAGGGGGGAGGGTGCTATCCCTGGTAAGCGTAGGATAAGCCAAGGACAAGCCCTTAAGGCCTCATTAAGGGTCTAATAAGGGGATAGCCCCGCCTCTCTATAGCCGCCCTCAGGGGTCGCAATGTCGGATAGCGAATACCCCAACGGGAGGCAATTCTAAAGTCTTCCCTATCCTGAAAAGAAAAAGGGGGAGGAAATTCAGAAAACTGGTTTTGTTTTGTTTCCGGTAGAAGTGATATGGCTTCGCGTCCGGGGCAAACAAACAACAAAAAACATGATCCCAAGCCGTCGCAATCTAAACTAACACTAACTAATACAAATCAATTGCTCGAGGGGGTCTTTACTAGTCACTACCCAGCATTACCTTTCAAGGCGGCACAGGGTCCAACTTTAAAGGCGGCACAGGGTCCAAACTGGAGCTATACTTTGACAACCTAACTAGGTGCAGTCCGGTTTCATCCTCACTCGAAGTGATGGTGTCCAAAAACTTCCCTCATGCTACACCTTTCACTTCAAAACCCAGTCTCCCGACTCACAAAAGCGCGAGAAGAAACTATCCGAATCCCTGACTTTGGGCCCTGACGCTTCGACTTGGGCTGTCCGTTTTCTGACCTGCTGAAAGTGTTAAAGTTTTAGCGGCTTGAATGGAAACCCCCACTAAACTGATTAACAACCTGAAAAGCCTAAGGAACGGGTGGCTGGGAACAGCGAAGGCCTTGCTGTTCAAGCGACTTGGCTCGAGGGTTCATTTTAGTCGCCCTGGCAATCAAACGGGTGCAGAAAACACACACGGCAACAAACGGCCTGCAAAAGTGGCAGTCGCACTTTTGGCAGAAAGAATCCAAGCGCCCTGAAGGTGGTGGCTGCCTGTTTCGGCGGGAAATCTCTTCAAGTCTTTGGTTGGGCTACGCTTACGTAGAAAGAAATAAAATCCTTCCTTCTGCCAGATAGGGGCTGCCAACTGGTGGCTTCCAACTTGTGGTGGCCACTCGTGGTTTCCTTCCAACTTCTGGTTTCCAACCTGGGGCGTCCAACTTGTGGTGTCCAATGTCCAACTTGTGGTTTTCAACATCTGGTTTCCAACTTGGGGCGTCCAACTTCTGGTGTCCAACTTGTGGTTTCCAACTTGTGGTGTCCACTTGTGGTTTCCAACGTCTGGTTTCCAACTTGTCCAACGTGTGCTTTCCAACTTGTGGCGTCCAACTTGTGGCTTCCAACTTGTGGTGTCCAACTTGTAGTTTCCAACGTGCGGTTTCCAACTTATGGAGTTCCCTATGTTTCTTTGTTCTTTTTTGTGGTCCCTTAGGCAGAAAACAAAACAACCCGCAACCCCGTCTTGAGGTAGTTGGAGATGCCCTCCGACACCTTCCGCAGGATTTCCCCCTTCGAAGCGAACCGCTTCTTGCTGGCCTCGGATTGAGCGCGCGCGAGCCAAAACCCCGCGCTTTTCGATCCACACGCCAGGGTTCTGCCGTTTTGGTTCAGGAAGAAACGCGAAGCCCAAGGCTTGGTATGTGGTTGGCATCCATAAGAAAGAAATACTTTAAGAAGTTGCGCAATACTTTAGTGCCGGTGTCTTATTGCAAGAGAACTGAAGCAGGCGGTTCGAGGGCAAACGGTTTTTGTTTGTTGTTTGAGCACCTACTGCCAAAGCCTGGGCTTGAGGACTGTTTGGACTGGGAGGTGCTTCACACACAAAAATACTCAGTAGAACAGACTCCAAGCAGAAAAGCCCAGCTGGTCTGTTGCCTCTCTCAGAGAAACCCAAAGCAACCGCCCCCCCTCCACCGTTCTCGGGGTGACTTTCCAGGCAAGTGTATTCAGACCCAATTACACCATTCCAGTAGCCAGTGAGTTTTAAAACCCACTGGAATGCTGATTTTTCCGAAAAAGGGTGGGGGACTATTTGGTTCCTGCTACTAAATCCCAAGGCTCGCTTTTCGAAGGGGGAGATTCGCTTGGTCCCCTTCTCCCGCTCCACTTCCCATCCCGCCTCGATGTCGGTCCGCAGCACCTCCCAGCTTCGTCTTGTATCCAGTTCGCGGGCAACGGATTTACAGCGGGGAAACAAATTCTGTTTGTTGACTCCCTAAGTACAAAGCCCCCAGCATTTGTTGCACAGCTGTCCTCCCAGGGTGCTCGCAAAAGTGCCCTAAAGAGGGGTTCCCCAAATCCAGTACCTACTTTCAAGCCTGAAATTCCGTCTCGGAGCCCTGACTTATTTTCTCAAGCCTTACTTATACATGCTACCTGGAAATGACAAGATCATCCTCTAAACCCTTTGACTAGATAGAGACCTTTTTTGGGGCCCCCGGAACGCCCAGGTTCTCCGAATCCTTCTGAGAACCCGTCCTTGGTGGGCGAATCATGCTTCCAGGTCGATACGCGGCGCGGCGCGCCGCGCGCCGCGCCTCGCGCACAAAGTCCTTGGGGGCGCTGAAGTACACGAAGGCGCCCCCCTCCCGCTCCCGCGGCACCATCTTCTCCACCTGGCACCCGGCCAGAGCCCGCAGGCTTCCGACTCAACCATATGGCCATGGGTCAAAACCCAAATCGTACCCCCAGTGAACATCCGATTCAATCCCCACTAAAATAGGTTCTAAAATGGGTGGTTCACCTACCCCAAAATGGTACCTTTGGTTTTGACCCACAGCCATATAGCAGGTTTGGGGTGGGAAGTGAACCCTAGCCGCACCCTCCTTGTCCATTCTCAAGGATCTTTCTGTTCAGAAAAGGGTAACCCAAAACCTGAAAGTCCCAGGCGAACATGGGTGGCTTCCGAAGAGAACGCGCTGGGCGGTTTCAGAAGGATTGGGAGGCAGCCCATTTTGACAAACTTGGCGCGGGACTGGGTCTGCACCAAACGGCCAGTGGATGAGCAGATCAGATATAACCGCGCATGACATGTAGTGCTTGAATGGATGGGATTCGCGAAGAGGCGAGGGGATCATACCACTAGCCGACCCGGGATTTCTCCCAAATCAACAGCTGCTTGATTTACTGGTGGGTTCTCTCAATTCCCTTTTGAAAGGCCCAACACGTTGGAAACTAAGTTGGACACCAAACGTGCGGGTGCACCACATGCAGCTTGCCCAGTTTCGGTGGTTTCGTTGGGATTGTTCGAAAGCTGCGGGGTGCTATCCCCAGGGTTTCGAAATTCAAATCCCAGCAATCCAAATCACCAAATCAAGCCTGGGCTACAGCGCTCGTGCTTTAAGTACCCTCACCTCCCGCACCTCCCTCACCTCCCTCACCTCCTCCCTCACCTCCCTCACCTCCCTCACCTCCCTCACCTCCCTCACCTCCCTCACCTCCCTCACCTCCCTCACCTCCCTCACCTCCCTCACCTCCCTCACCTCCCTCACCTCCCTCACCTCCCTCACCTCCCTCACCACAGAGTCCAACACCCCCCTTGTAAAAAATGAAAAAATGAAATGTGTCAAGTCCCGAAACCGCCCATTTGATTAAGCCCCCCAGCAAAAGGTAAAGTCCGTTTAAAACCGAAAGGAAAATAAACAAAACATATTCATGTTCAGCAAATGACTCAAGGACGTCGAAATCCCCTTGGCTCCGGCAACCACCAAAAAACAAACAAAAAACAGAAGAACAAAAAATGAAGAAGAAACAAACTTGGAGAAAAGAGTCGCCTTCACCCCCGCGGGCAGCAGCTTGGGGATCAGCGTCTCGTGGTTGTGGTGCGTCAGCATCTGCCGGAAGTCCAGGCGGAAAGCCTTGGTGGGGTACCTCGGACCCGCGCTCTCAGGAACCCCATCGCTCCAGGAGGTTATTTGGACAAACGAACGAGTGGGGATACGGAGGGAGCGGGTCCCGATATGGGGGGAGTCCAACTTGGCGCCATTTCCCATATCAAGCTTAGTCAAGGTGCATGAGGTGGTTTTCCAGGAGCCAAGTACACCACAAAACCCGGAAATTGGGGTGGGGAGGGGCAAACACCAAGCCAAATACATGGAATTGTGAGCTCTTCCGGGGCAAATGTTCTGGAGATGGTGCTTAGATCCGCGACCTCTGTTGGTTTCACCCACGAAGCGTTGACCTGAAATGTTCACCTTTTCCACAAGTTTGACAAAGGGAGGTGTTCCTTTTGGCTTTCCGGCTAAACCAATACTTTGCCGCAAGGCAAAAATATGTGTCCCTTTTGGTGTCTTTCCCGCCAAACTGAAACATCTCTTGGCCCTTTCGCCTGCATCTTCCCAGCAAGGTGCACGTTGGCCACCCACAGCACTCCCCGGGCAGATGCCACGGAAGGCTTCTCTGGCTCCTCAAAAGCCTGCCAGCGTTTCGTCTGACAAATAATTAGGGCTCGGCCCATTTGGAACAGCGCTTTGGGAACTGGTATCCACTATGACTCAAAGGCCGCGAGTCAGGCTGGCAGTTGCGACATTCTCTCAGCAAGTGTTACCCAGACACACCGAGCCCTGAAGACTGCATTCAATGGTGGGGCCACCCATTGGTGTAAACATGTTTAAACCACTGATTATGATGATTCTTCCCTTGTAAAGGTGGTGTTTATTTGCCCCACCCACGCATTCAAGCAAGTTGAAGAGATATACGACGAAGGCGAAAGCCGGTTGGTGGTTGTCGAAAAAGTGAACAAATCGAAAGGAACACACCGCCGGTGCTGTGCTTTGGGGTTTTGCTTTAGGGCCTGAAGCCACAGGACAAAAAAACTCTTCCGCGATTAGTGCGGCGCGCTCGGCAGAACCGCTCTTTCACAAAAAATATCCAGCCCAATGAACATGATGTTTTCTGCTTTCCGGATGCGTCCTCAAAAATTTTGCAGTGCCAAGGACGGGTTTAAGATCCCGGTTTTCAGTTTCCCTCTGCTTTCCCAGTTGATTCGGGAAGCACAGTTTAGCATCTCGGACCTAGGCTTTCGTATCGTTAGTCTTGTTTTCAGGGAAGCAGTTGACGAGGACGACTGGGGCCTGGCGTCCCAAGCGCATTTTAGCACCTTGAACCTCAATTTAGGGTGCGGATTTATTTCGGGAATTGTGTTTTCGTTTTTTTTTCCCCCCCCCCCCGTCCGGGCCAGTAAAATGCTGTATTTCACAGATTATTTTATTCAAAAATAAAAACTCTATTTACTTTTGTTCGCCTTGTTCTAAGTTGTCGGACCAAAGAAATAGACCATTGTTTTGAGCCAGCCGCATTTCAAGTGCACCCGTCCTCCTCCTCTTTTGCGGCTTCCAGCACATCCTGCCTCAGCTTACGAGCCGTTTGAAGCCTCCAATCGAGAATGTGCCAAAATAGGGATCTGGAAGAACCAAAATGGATCTTGGCTTTCCTTTCGCTTCCTTTTGAACACATCTGAAAATTGGTTCCCCGGCCCGCCCGCTGTCCAAAAAGGACAACTGCGCATCTTGACACGTCGATTTAGAATTTGAGGCTCTCAGAAGCATCTCGCGAAGTCGAAACAAACACAAGCGTACAGAAGCACCAGCAATCCTTTGCTCCACTCCTTTGAGCCTCCAAACTCCTTTGACCGAAGCCAGGCCTCTTGCAACGCTGGTTTCGCCCAAAAAACGGGCACGTCCCTCGCGATGCCTTCCCATGGAGCAACAGCAGAAAGATGGCTCTTGATGGCTGTTTTCCCGGCGACCTGTGGATGGTTGCGAAAGTCCGAGACCGCACCACTTTGAAAGTATTGGAAGCCGTTGCTGGTTGGTATTTACGAGGGAATAATCATCATTCCAGCAGTTCTTAGGTGGTGCAGGATTTCTCCCCGTGCGTTCGCGCTTGAAACCCCACGCCCGGGCAACCAGAAGCCCACGCTGTCGGCCCGCCCGAAGCCCTCCTTTGAAGCGGAAGGTGAGCGGGTCGGCCCGAAACGCTCACCCGACACCTGAGTCATAATCAAAACCCGGTTTAGTAAAATGGTCCAAGCCCAGAACCATGCTTCAAGAATTGAACAGGCGGATCTCACCCATCTATGGCAAGTTGTCCCGTACCCTCCAATTGCCCGAGGTTTGATTCTGGAACCCATCTATTTCCAACCAAACCTTCAATTTGCTTAATATCCCGAGGAAAAAAAAATAAGCCCTGACACCTCCAGCGAGCGGCCTTCCCCCAAAAAATACATAAAATGGCACTTCTCACATCAAACCCAAATAATCAAACAGCATACAACAAAATCAGCAAAATTCACAGAAAACAAGATAAGAACCACCAAGCAACTCAAAAACCAGAACAACCCCCAACAAAATATTTAATCAAAGCATAAAACATTAAATAATTCAAACAAGCATACCAACAAAACAGCAAAAATAAAAACCATCAAAGAACACAAACTCAAAAACACACATCAACAAAAAACAAAGCAACATACCAACAAAAAATATCAGAAGAGTATCAAACAAAATAAAATACAAACAGCCAAAGCACGAAAAAATCAAAAGAGCATACCAAGTTCAAACAACGCACTTTGAAAGAGTCAAGCAAATTAAGGAAAATTAAAATATTTCAATCTTTACAAACCATAAGTATAGTATAATTATAACATATAAGATTTTACATGTTATTATTATAGTATGATTAAACATTATGACTTATTGCTGTTCTTCAATAACAAAGTGATGTTTTACTCCATGTTCCAAACAGAATTTCACTTCCACCATGCCCGTTTTTTCCTTCCACCATCGGTGGAAACCCTGTAAAAAACAGCATTTCCACCATGCGCGTCTTTTCTTTCCACCATGCACGTCTTTTCTTTCCACCATGCACGTCTTTTCTTTCCACCATGCCTATTTGTTCCTCACAAGATGATGTTTGCAGTCTTCGTCAGTTGTTGATTTAACATGAGGAATTGTTTTTCCATGCTTCGTGTCTAGGAATAGTACCATGTTGGATTTACAACCCCGCTCGCTACATTTTTTCACAACAAAACCTATTAGCGTCAGGTCAAACTCACCAAGATTTCACTAATTAATTCACTAGGTAGTTTATATAAATCTTCCTGCTTATGTATTATTGCATTGTCTCCCCAATTTTCCTTGTTTCCATTTGGCAGTCTCTGCGCAGTTTCAATATGTTTATTATTCCTAATTTTCCCGCAATCCTTTTTACATAAATCTCTAGGTGTCCATGTTGTAATGTTATTCCAAAGCCTAGTTCTCTTTCTGTAAGGCATTCCATATTTACAATAATCTACATCTTTAAAATCAAACTCATCCATAAACTCCTGATTTTTTAATAATCCAGTTTGGGGATTTTCGATTACAAAATACCTAGGATTAAAATATTTGATAATTTCAATAGTTTTTAAGACAATACTATTTGCATATTCGATATTCCTAGTTCCCCTAGTTTTTGCTATGCTGTATTCAGTGCATGGGGGACTACTCCAAATAAAATCAAAATGGTTCCTATCAAATTGTTTATAATCCCATTTCAAAATATCAGTATTTATATCAGCATTTTTCAAATCCAATGAAATAACATTGAAACCCATTGCTTTTGCAACAAGTCCAACACTGCCGGTCCCACTAAACATCTCTAATAAGTTCATTATTAAAGATATTTAGATAATATTATCTATGAATAAAAATCCCTGTTTCCTCGTTAAAAACTATGTTTAGTGTTCAATGAGTAAATGCAACTTTATGAATAAAGTTGAGTTTCCTCATCATAGTCAATTTGATAAAATGTCATAGTTGAAGCCTTCGGTTCTTTAATTTCTTTGTTATTAAGTTTGTTTAAATAAATATTTCTTTTATTTTTATATTCCCCATTGGTTCTATCTACTTCTTTGCTTTGATAACTGTTTGTTAATGGTTTCTTCTTTTCCATTTCTTGTAAGATTTCTAAAATATTCTTATTCTGTTCTAAAACCTTGTTCAGTTTTTTAACAATCTTTTCTAATCCTTCATCCATGTAAATATATATATATTATATTATAAAATAAAACTTTTAAAACTAAACTTTTATTTTACAAAATCATATATCATTATAAGTCAATTCAAAATTAGTTATTGTGTAACTCGTTAAATTATTATTCAATTTACCAATTAAATTACAAATAATAGTTTTTCTAAATTTTGAATATTTATGAAACTTTTCAATATTATCTGTAATATAAATTATTAAACATTTAATACATTCAAACACATTAACAACATTAATGTTACTATTTTTGTAAATATTATTCATTTTTCTCAATGTAATTTCATAAAACTGAATAGCATTTTGATTATCATAATTAGCAATAAATCTTAAAGTATATGAATATATTCTTTTACAATAAAATTTTAAATCTGATTGTTCAAATAAATCAGCATAATTAATAGAATTATAAAACATGTTAAAATCAATTTTACTATTTCTAAAGTCATTAACAAAATTAATTAATATATCATTTTCGTTATATTCTTCAATAAAATTGTTTAATTTCAAGTCTTTTACATCAATGAATTTAAGAATATTATTTATACCATCTTGCATTATAAATAATAATAGAAATAATTTTAACTATTGTTTTTTCATCATTCTTTCTCAGGTGTAAATAACCTACCAAATCCACTTTTGAAGTTTTCTACCCAACTTTCTTCAACTGTGCTACCGTCAGCATCTTTCTTTTTTACAGTATGGACTGTATGCATGTTTCGACCACATGAACACGGCCAACATTTAACTTTGACATGTTCTTTATCTAACTCTAATTCATTTAGTGGTTTAATTGCTTGACCGCATTTATCGCATTTGACACATTCAATCTCTTTTTGCTTCTCTTGCTTCTTCTTTGGAGGCATTTATATTAATATTTACATTTTTATTTTTGATATATTGTATCACAAACTTAATTAATTCTAAAATAAAATAACATATTTTTTTGAATCTATTATTAGTTATAACAACCCGTTCTATATTTTCTACTTCATTTATTATATCAATATAATCTGAATAACTTCTATTCATATAAATAATAAGATAAAATAATTATTTAATCTTATTATTTTCATGCATAATAGAATATTGGTGGGGCTCAGCACTGGGGTTTTCTTTACAATGCATCAAACTAATTAGCTTCAATGCTTATTGATTGAATCAATGGAAAGCCTGTTCCATTTTATGATATTCACCACCAGTCATATCATAAAACGATGTTCCATTAATATTAAATAGAATATGTATTTAAACTATTTTCTTTAGTAAGTTTTACTGCAGTTGATATACTAACATCTAGGATATTATTATTAGTAATTTCTTGTACACTATTTATCATATCATTTGTATATATATATAGGAATAATCTTTCATAAAATTTACTAATTTATTATAATTTAGGGTATCCTCGTTTTCGATTGATGATTTAGATATTATAATATTTTGTTTTTTAATTATCGATAAAAACAATAAAATCGTATCATAATATACTTGGCCAGTATCTGGAACTAAAATATCACCAAATTTATATATAGTTCGAATACTATCTACTTCACTTAAATTAATAGACTCTATATATTCTATTGTCATTATGATATAATTATATTATATATTTTTTTATTTATAAGTATTTATAATATTATTTTTATTATGCCTGATGTAAAACCAATTGATGAAATCAAATATGACTTTAAGCAAAGTAAGCACGAGGTCGTCCCTAAATTGCCGATGAGAGCTATGATTGTAGGCCCGTCTGGTTCTGGAAAGAGCACCCTACTTGTATCAATGATACTTGATATTTATAGAGGTGCATACGAAAGAATTTTTATCTGGTCCCCATCTGTAAATTTGGATAGTATTTGGTTGCCTGTCAAAAAATACATTAAAGAAGGTTTGAAAGTAGATACTGATAAAGAACCGTGTTGGTGGGATGAGTTCAATGTTGAAGATTTAGAAAGAGTTATAGAAACTCAAAATAAAATAATTGAATACCAGAAAAAACAAGGAACGAAGAAATTATTTAATATTTTGATAATTTTGGATGATGTATCTGATAATCCAGCAATAACAAGAAATAACAAATTGTTAAATTCTTTATTCTGTAGGGGACGTCATAGTGGAATATCAACGCTTGTCAGTCTTCAGAAATCATCAAGTGTCCCACCAATTATTAGAGTAAATATAAGTCATTTGTTTTATTATAAAGTTAGAAACTTCAAAGAGATAGAAATATTACAAGATGAATTATCAGCAATTGTTAGAAGTGATAATTTACTAGAAAGCAAGAAACTAATTTATAAAATATATGAGACTGCAACTGAT